TATTACGCTTGTAGTCGTTATGGATGAGTAGTGAGTAAGATATTCATACAATGTTGATATAACCAACATTATACCACAATATTTACTCGAACTGGAAACAATGAGATTTTAGTTCGGATGTTACTGACATTATTGCAAAACTGACAACTGAAATCGATTTTGGATGACCAATATCTCACACGGATAGAAACGATTGAATGGGGTTGTATTTTTTGACGTCATGGAACTAAAGGCTAAATATTCTGTTTCAAGGTGAGATAAAATGGGGTTCAACGTCGCGTTCACGATGTGTGTGTGTGTGTGTGTGTGTGTGTGTGTGTGTATGTGTGTGTGTGTGTGTGTGTGTGTGTGTGTGTGTGTGTGTGCCTGCTTGTACCGGACTAATGCGACTTTATAGTGCTAGCCCACTGAGATACCATGCCGCAGTTTAACATGAATACCCCAAAGTATAGTGACACCGAGCCAACCAGTTCTCGTTTTAGCCCCTTTAATGCCAAACGCCAGACAGGGTAACAACAAGTACCATCTTTTAACGTCTTTTGGTATGATGCGGCTGGGTTGTCTTAACGTGAAGCGTTAACCACAACAATTGGTGCCCTGTGTAAAGTGATGCACCACTTATCCGGACAGTACTGTGCCACGTTAGGTCGTCCGGATTAACGATTTTTTATGGAGAAATGTCCCTCTTAATATATGTACGCGTTTCTAAGAGTAATCGTCCTGAAGGTACGATGTCCAGATTTGCTGTGTCCGGATTAGTGGGGACAGAGCAAACATGTTTTTAATGTACTCGTTCGTTAGCGCAATGTTCATTACACGTTTGTAAGATGTAAATGAAAGCTTTACATTTGTGATTACCTCTAATATGTGTAAGGGAACACAGGGCCTCGTGGTCTAGGCTGATGGAAGTCGGTGTGCAGAGTCGTGTCCCTTTGACGTATCTGGATCCTATGTTCGTGGATTCACATAGGTTCAATGCTGTTAAAGGCGGCGTTAAAACCAACTCACTCACTCAAATAGGTTCACCCTGATTATGTTTTCAGGTTTGTGTACCTCTAAACCCGTGTTCGTAGGTTTCCAGATGTGGTAAACGTCTGAGACATGCATCACTGCGCGGTTTCTGTAGGTATTGTTTTGGCATTATTGTGAATTAAGAGTTTGATGAAGAGTTTACAAGCGCACAAAGCCTCACACTGATTAGAGTGGTCAGCTAGCTGTAATATGTTACTGGCTTGTTTCACTTTCAATTTCCTTAGTGTGATTAAAGAGAAAAACAGAGAAATATTGTTACCAGTAGGATCAACAATAGTTACAGTAGGATCGATGGTAATGGCAGTGGGGGCGATAGTGGTAACAGTAGGAGCGACAGTAGTAATAGTAGGAGCGATAGTAGTAATAGTAGGAGCGATAGCAGTAACAGTAGGAGCGATAGCAGTAACAGTAGGAGCGATAGCAGTAATAGTAGGAGCGATAGCAGTAACAGTAGGAGCGATAGCAGTAACAGTAGGAGCGATAGCAGTAATAGTAGGAGCGATAGCAGTAACAGTAGGAGCGATAGCAGTAACAGTAGGAGCGATAGCAGTAACAGTAGGAGCGATAGCAGTAACAGTAGGAGCTATAGTGTTAACAGCCGGAGCTATAGTAGTAACAGTAGGAGCTATAGCAGTAACAGTAGGAGCGATAGCAGTAACAGTAGGAGCGATAGCAGTAACAGTAGGAGCGATAGTAGTAACTTTAGGAGCGATAGCAGTAACAGTAGGAGCGATAGCAGTAACAATAGGAGCGATAGTAGTAACAGTAGGAGCGATAGTGTTAACAGCCGGAGCTATAGTAGTAACAGTAGGAGCTATAGCAGTAACAGTAGGAGCGATAGCAGTAACAGTAGGAGCGATAGCAGTAACAATAGGAGCGATAGTAGTAACAGTAGGAGCGATAGCAGTAACAATAGGAGCGATAGTAGTAACAGTAGGAGCGATAGCAGTAACAGTAGGAGCGATAGCAGTAATAGTAGGAGCGATAGCAGTAACAGTAGGAGCGATAGCAGTAACAGTAGGAGCGATAGCAGTAACAGTAGGAGCGATAGCAGTAACAGTAGGAGCTATAGTGTTAACAGCCGGAGCTATAGTAGTAATAGTAGGAGCGATAGCAGTAACAGTAGGAGCGATAGCAGTAACAGTAGGAGCGATAGCAGTAACAGTAGGAGCGATAGTAGTAACTTTAGGAGCGATAGCAGTAACAATAGGAGCGATAGTAGTAACAGTAGGAGCGATAGTAGTAGCAGCAGGAGCGATAGTAGTAACAGTAGGAGCTATAGGTGAGGTGAAATTGGGTTTAACGTCGCGTCCAAGATTATTGCACTTATATAGCGACGTGCATGCACGTGTATGTGTGTGTGTGGCTGCTTGTACTAGTCCGGACTGATGCCGATTTATAGTGCTAGCTCACTGAGATACCATGCCGCAGTTTAACATGAATACCCCACTCAGACACAGTATACTGACTCCGAGCCGACCAGTCCTTGTTTTAGCCCCTTAATGCCGAGCGCCAAGTACAATCTTTTAACGTCTTTTTGTATGACGCGGCCCGGGATCGAACCCTGGACCTTCCGCTCTCCGGGCGGACGCTCTACCACAAGACCACGGAGGCGGTCTAGTAGGAGCTATAGTAATAACAGTAGGATCGATAGCAGTAACAGTAGGAGCGATAGCAGTAGCAGCAGGAGTGATAGTTGTAACAGTAGGAGCGATAGCAGTAACAGTAGGAGCGATAGTAGTAACAGTAGGAGCGATAGTAGTAACAGTAGGAGCGATAGCAGTAACAGTAGGATCGATAGCAGTAACAGTAGGAGCGATAGTAGTAACAGTAGGAGCGATAGTAGTAACAGTAGGAGCGATAGCAGTAACAGTAGGATCGATAGCAGTAACAGTAGGATCTTTAGCAGTAACAGTAGGAGCGATAGTAGTAACAGTAGGAGCGATAGTGGTAACAGTAGGAGCTATAGTAATAACAGTAGGATCGATAGCAGTAACAGTATGAGCGATAGTGGTAACAGTAGGAGCGATAGCAGTAACAGTAGGAGCGATAGTAGTAGCAGTAGGAGTAATAGTTGTAACAGTAGGAGCGATAGCAGTAACAGTAGGAGCGATATCAGTAACAGTAGGAGCGATAGTAGTAACAGTAGGAGCGATAGTAGTAGCAGCAGGAGTGATAGTTGTAACAGTAGGAGCGACAATAGTAACAGTAGGAGTAAAGGCAGTAACATTATGAGCAACAGTAGTAACAATTGTGGTATTTGTTTGTGTGTTTTCAACCTCTCAATGAGGGGCGGTGGGATAGTCTAGTTGTTAAAACGTCTAGTCACGCCGATGACCCGGATTCGATTCCCAGCATGGCGACAAAACCATACTTACTCTCTTTCCTACCTGATCCTTGATCAATGATCCGTTTCGCCTCAATGGGTGGTAAATTTACATATTCTCTCTTGAATTTATATCCTCCCGGATTAAACCTACCCGAGCCACCCGTGAGCGAAATGTAATTGTAGCATGTACGACAGGAAACAAATCATGTAGAATAATCATTGTATTAACAATTATCATAATGTACACAAACTGTATTCATAACAAATATATACAATGTAATACAAGTGAGAAAACAATGGCCGCTCCCGATAAAACTACCAGCCGATACTTGTTGCGTTTATGGAAGAGACTTCGGTAATTAGATTATCGTGAATGCAGGCTGCAGGATGATGTAAAAGCGGTTTACATTACCACTGCATCAGTGATTTGGCAAAGGATCATCAACCCATCCTCTCACACGCTCTGTGAATTAATTTCCATGTACATACGCACTATTTTTACATTGACAAAAAAATACTTTATTCGTAATTCGAAAAGAACTGTGGCACTTGAATGATTGTCGGAGAGGGCGACACTTTCGCCCGAGAAACACTAGCCACGGAACCCGGGAACCGTGGTATCATGTGCAAATGCTGCCAAAGGATATTCGAAGACACTACGATCGAGATTGATTCCATACGTTTCACTACTTGTTGAATGGCCGGAAACATTTATATTTCCTTATTCCGTCTCACTGCCAAATACCCTGCGAAGATCCGGGTTACACTTTGTCTTCAGCAACCCGTGCTTGTCGTATGTGGCGACTAACGATGCTGATGATGTCAGTCACTTGATTATCTGATTGCGTAAAACAGCAAACAAACAAACATTGTCAAATATCCATTACGAAAAACACCTGAATATATTCTGCTGCGATCGCCCTTAGTGCGATGGTGATATTCGGCAAGACTAATGCTGATATGTAATTATCTTTGGCGTGAAGTGACAGTTCTATCAATAACACGACTTTATGACATCAGAGTTGTCAGGTAACATTGATAATTGCTATTCAGGAATGATTATTTATACCCCAGCAAAGCCATCGTCTTTCCAAATCATCACAGTAATATAACACCCTGAAATGCGGTTTCTCGTGTCTCAATACACATGGGTCCTAATGCATCGCTGATGGAAGCGTTGTTTTGCACGGTTGACTGTGGCAGTGTTTTTGAATGTTCACCAGAAGATCAGTGGAAAGAAGCACTGTTAAGAGATAGTCATTTCCATGACAATCCCTTAGAGGTTGTGGTGTGAAAGAGGTTTAGTGAGTGAGTGAGTATGGTTTTACGCCGCTTTTAGCAATATTCCAGCAATATCACGGCAGGGGACACCAGAAATGGGCTTCACACATTGTACCCATGTCGGGAATCGAACCCGGGTTTTCGGCGTGACGAGCGAACGCTTTAACCACTGGGCTACCCGACCGCCCCGAAAGAGGTTTAACGACGCCTTCAAGATTATTGCACTTATAGCGACGTGTGTGTGTGTGTGTGTGTGTGTGTGTGTGTGTGTGTGTGTGTGTGTGTGTGTGTGTGTGTGTGGCTGCTTGTTCTAGCACGGACTAATGCCGGTTTTATAGTGCAAGCCCACTGAGATACCATACAGTTTAACACGAATACCCCTCTCAGAAACAATATACTGACTCCTTGTTTTGGCCCTTAATGTCGAGTGCCAGGGAAGGAAACAACAAGTACCATCTTTTAACGTTTGTTTGGTATGACTCGGAAGGGGATCAACCCCTTGACCCTCAGGTCTCCAGGGGGACGCTCTGTCCACTGGACCACGGAGGTGGTCGATAATCTTATAACACTGAGTGTTAATTGACGCTTATAACTGTTTGTGGCGAGCCCTTATTAAACAAGTTCCCAGTTCACTGGCTGTGATAATATTTCATGATAATATATTATTTCTTGATAAGGAATGACTGCAGTTGTTTCTTCAAAATTTTGTAAAGCTATTCTACCAAGGCCCACACTCACTGACACTAAAATAATATAGGACGTACACACAGTCCATACATTCATCTTTCACTGATTGCGATAAAATAATAAAATTATATTTCCCGATCGGGAATTGATGTAACTGTTTCTTCAAAATTATGTCAAGTTCTGCTACCAAAATCTAAATCACCTTGACGCCAATAGATTAATGTGGCAAGAACTAAATCTACATCGTTCACTGGTTGTGATTAAATGGCATGTTCCGATGACACCAATAGTGCACACTGGACACTGCCATAAATACACCGGAAAAACAGACGATGATCACTTGAATCCAGATATACGCTTGATCTCACTGATATGTTTCAATCATTCTTCAAACTTGTGGTTCCAACGTTCAAGCACCCCTTTGATCCTCCGTGCAGAAGTCAGTAGTAAAGGAAGTCAGGGTCGGGCGGTGGGGCAGATGGGTCTAGTCTCGGTTGTTGATCCACCTGTGTCGCTAGATGTGGAACAGTGTTTGTACTCGAGGCAATAGAAGAAACTTGCATATTTGCCTGTGACCGATCAGAAGGAATGGCGTCCATAGGAATTGCCATTGCCGTCATGTCTCGGTTGAAGGCAGTCTGGCCATGGAGATATGGATTTGAAGTACGTTCAGTTCTGGTTGCTCTACGCCTGTCAAAATGTAACCCCAAGCACATGAACATGCCTCCAGCTATTGAACAACAACTGCCGGTGACTCCTAGTATGACCCCCCAGCCGATGGTGCCTATCGCTTGGTTTACAACACATGACGCCAGGGAGAGACCACCTGGAAATGAAAGTACACCTATTACGCACATACCTACGTATTATCTATTGATTCCATGGTACATGGTACAGTTTGATCTCATGATGACCTGATAACATTAGATCGAATACAACTTTCGAATAACAAATTTCTATTGTTCATTTATCTGTAATCAGGACTTTATCGTGGCACCATTGACGTCATATAGCAAGGGACATCAGCTATGGTGTATTTAATGGCAACAGGACTCTAGAAGAGAAAATATTAATTTGTAATATTTGTATTTTGTTGCTCTAAAACTGCTAAGTCAATACTTTTCATGTTGAAAAGTACAAGAAAAATAAGTTCATTTTTGTGTCATGTTACACATACTGAAATAATATATTAGGCTTTCTGCAAACAATAGAACCAATTTGCACAAAGCAATCTTAAGGCTACGGTTGTGTTGCGGTGATTCAAAAACACATGCTTATGTGGAAAAGGCCAAGTATGTCCGTAAATTCATTAAGTTCATTTTTTGTGAACCAACCTAGTCGTGTCTACTATCAGCTTTACTGTCAGGAATGTGGTTTCCTACCTTTCAACATCGACATTTAAATAGTAACTAACATTGCCAAGGACTAATAGCTATTCATATTCATGTCTGTCACACTGGTTAAAAAAGACCAAAAGATAGAATGTCCACAAATATTCGATCATGTGTCTGTGTAGTCTTACGGCTCACTTATTCAGGCCCAAAGACTAAGACTCGAGGTACACCGTTGGTGTGTAGCATGATACACGACACACGCCGATAACATGGTAGGAACCCGAATGTTTTAACTTTAACGTAGAGCACAAGTTGTTTGTTATCGAACTTCACCATCTTTTCAGATGTCTATGTCTGTAATTTATGATTTGTTTGTATATTGTTTATCGCCGCACTCAACAATATTCCAGCTATATGACGGTGGTCTGTAAATAATCGAGTCTGGACCAGACAATCTAGTGATTGACATCACGAACATCGATCCACTCAAATGGGATACGATGATCCCGTTAATCGCCTCTTACGACAAGCATGGTTTGCTGAAGATCAGTTCTAACCCGGAACTTGTCTATAAGTTGTTGATACTAGTTAGGTGAAATAGAGAATCTTTTGATATCAAATATATCAACACGAGTTGATAAAAGTGGGAAAACTCCGAGGCTTGCCGAGGATTTTTTCCACTTTTATCAACGAGTGTGAGATTTTATTTATCATCCAACATCATTCTTCCAACTTTTTCAGTTTGTAGACAGTATAAGGGTAACGCTATTTTTCAGGGCATTATCATTTGCAGAAGCCCGAGGTCTTCCATTAACCGCCCGACGAAGGAGGGCAGTTGAAAAGACCGAGGGCTTCAGCAAATGATAATGCCCTGAAAAATAGCGTAACCGTTATTATAGCTAAACTGGATGGAATTTGTTATCAAATAAATAGAAACAATGTCGATTTTGAAACATTCACTGCAATCAACACGAATGTCACTGACCCACTTTTACAAATATGGAAACGTCATAGAACAAACCAGATGACGTCACTATTGAACGTTACGTCACCTATCCCTATCCTATGACGTCACCTAACAACGGGCGTGATAATGGCCCGTCGTCAAATAATATGAGGGCATTATCAAGTTACAGTGGCCCGCTCATTTCTGATAACATGCGGGCGTTTTTATGATAATTCTATCCATTTTAGCTATAATAATAAGTAGTGTCTTAAGTGTAAAAAGTACTGCTAACAGCTTCAGTAGCAGAGCCATTAGTGATGTCATTTGATTGTGACGTCATAGTAACCAATGACGTCACAATGGTCTGCAAAGCATTGTGATGTAATTTCGTTGCAGCGATTATCATATCTATAGTGTAGGGGTGCGTTGCAAAGCGCCAGTCGCTTGTAGGCGATGTACAGCGATTCGCCTTACAACAGTGCGCTAACGTTCAGCCGCTTGCAAGCGAAACAAACGCTGACTGAGGTCGCTTCGTTCTCAAACCAAAATGGCGGCTTACTTTGACAGCGGAACAAGGAATTCTTAACTGGATCAACGAGAAAATGAGCAAAGGTAGCTAACACACCATCATCCTCAGTCTGCTCCACATCTTCAAAGTAGTCATAAATTTCATCAGCTCGTCATCGAGCCTCTTCTATTACGTTCTTCATTACGTGGATAGATGCTCATGATGTCAATCACTGGATTGTCTGGTCCAGACTCGATTATTTACAAACCGCCTTCATATAGCTGGAAGATTGCTGAGTGCGGCGTTAAACAACAAACAAACAAACGTCAAGGCAACCAACCGGTAGTTGCGCCGCCATTTTGGAAGAGTGCGCAAGCGCTTCGAACTGTTGCAGACCTCGGGTTGAGCGGTGAATTTGCTTTCTCTAAGCGACTCGTGGCTTGCAACGCGCCCTAGATATCCCTTGATCTCACCCAAACGATATCTCCTGTGTAGCCAGTTTTGGATGATAAATATATGTACAGTAATGGAATATGTTTGAAAAAAATCAGGATATTGTATCCTGCTCTTTGTATTCTCCTGTTTTTCTTTGTTTTCCTACATTTTCTAGAGGAAGAAAATTGAACCTGTGGCCCAGTCGCCTCTTACGACAAGCATGGGATACTGAAGGCCTATTTTAACCCGGATCTTCACGGGCGGGCACATCCTAATGTGAATATTAACCGCATGCGTGTGTGAAGAGAAATTCATTCAAATATGTCAACCTATTATCTGAAAATCCTCGTCTTGTGAAGCATTATTATTCTTTAATCAAAACTGATCAATGATTATGTGATCACAGTCGGATAGTCAACAGTAATGAGTTGTGTCAGGTCTAAATGTGTTTCGATCAGCTCAGCTGAGGTGAATGTTAGGAACATATTATGAGAATGTTAGGAACATATCATGAGAATGTTAGGAACATATTATGAGAATGTTAGGAACATATTATGAGAATGTTAGGAACATATTATGAGAATGTTAGGAACATATTATGAGAATGTTAGGAACATATTATGAGAATGTTAGGAACATATTATGAGAATGTTAGGAATATATTATGAGAATGTTAGGAATATATTATGAGAATGTTAGGAACATATTATGAGAATGTTAGGAATATATTATGAGAATGTTAGGAACATATTATGAGAATGTTAGGAACATATTATGAGAATGTTAGGAATATATTATGAGAATGTTAGGAACATATTATGAGAATGTTAGGAACATATCATGAGAATGTTAGGAACATATTATGAGAATGTTAGGAACATATTATGAAAATCGTACCACAAAAAACGGGGAACACAGAGACGAAGGCATTTTCTGACTGAAGACTTTTTGAGTAGGCTGTGCAGTTATGGAGGAAGATGAGAAACAGCGAGATGAAGCAGAAAGCCAGAGCGATGCACGCCAGCACTCTGGATACTAGGAGCCTCGCTGGAACAAAGAAATGCTTTAAGATACACGTTAAATCAATAGCTGGTTCGGAAGAGTAAGGACGCACGTAAATATGTAAACGATTTTTTTATGCAGTGCGAATGAACGACATTAGTTCAATAGACATAACCATCTTCAGACAAATACATGAAAGTGAAACCTGTGACGTGAATTGTCGTACTCTTTCATAAAAGTTAAGTAATAAAGTAAAAAACATGTAAATGGACTTCAAAGAGCGTCATACGACTCTTGCTCAGAAGTTTTTGATCAAGGTTACAACATTCAAGGCCTCAGTAAAGTTTTCAAAAGTTTTTTTGTAGACATGTGGAGGACATTTCCAAATTTGACGCATCATTGACAAAAATATGTCAGATGCAATTCCCCATTTTAATTTGTACCATATGTTCCCGTGTTTTTTCAGCTGAACAATGGACTTGCCTTTGCATGTGTTTGTGATGGGTGCCACCGGTGGGGCAGGATACGCTCACCTTTTCGCGTACACCTGGTATCATAACTTTTTGATTGTGATTCATACAAATGCTCATGATATCGTCGGAAGTGTACAATCGACGCTGCTTTGTGCAGAGATTTCTATTGGATATGGAAAAAGTTTTGTCGCTTTATTGCAATCAATTCTAGGCGATGGGGTAGCCGAGTGGTTGAAGCGTTTGGTCGTCACGTTGACTGCCCGGGTCGTTCCCTACATGGGGACAATGTGTGAAGAACATTTTAAGTGTCCCCCGGCCTAATATTACTGGAATATTGCTACAACAGGCGCAACATCATACTCACTCCAAGAAATTGGATTTTGAAACGTAAAACTAAATAGATTACAATCTTTGCCGTTGATGGTCAAACCAACAAAGACGTAGTTTATGCATTACATAGAAAGTAATGATACCATTCCCAGAACGTCTTGACCTAAGTTGACGTGCAATATTACGTGGGTGAGTCTCGGTGCATGTAATGATATTGAAGGTAAAAAATCAGAAAGTAATTCAAACATCACGTGAAAGAACACTTACAGCGTTCTTATCACAGCAGGTGTGTTTCCGGTCACGTACAAGTACACGTCTGTAATTATCATCCTGGCGCAATGCCGTGTTTTCTCTAATGAGCTCCACCTGCAGTCACCTATATAGTAACTACGGGTATGACGAACTTAAAGGGGCCACTCATTTAGTTCGTTATAACCGTAGTTCATAATAAGCATATATACCGTAAATAGTCGAGACCATAAAAAACAGTTCGTTATATCCGTCAGTACGTTATAATCGCGTTTGTTATAAACGTAGTTTATTGTAATGACCTTTGATCCATAGGAAGACTTTCTGTAAATAATCGAGTCTGGACCAGACACCCCTGTGATTGACATCATGAGCATCGATTGATCTGCGTGTGTGTGTGTGTGTGTGTGTGGCTGTTTGTACCTCTCCGGACAAAATGCCGGTTTTATAGTGCCAGCCCACTGAGATACCATGCCGAGGTTTAATATTATATATAATAAGAATGTGGGTACTTATATTGCGCCAGCCTCCATACACTCGCTGCATGCTCAAAGCGCTAACATTATTACCCCGGGCGTTGGATCAGTGTGCACTCGAGTTTCATTCTCAGCTCCATGGGGAGTATACAACCCAAGCTGCCCTGGCGCTAGAAGGTTAACATCTCATCCCACCGGGTGCCCATTTTGTACTGCTTGGTGAACTGGGGCGCTTTTCGAACAAAGTCACTTGCCTCAGAACACCAGTGTGTGGCAGGTTTAACCCTTTCATGTGTGTATAGATGAAACCTGTATTGAATTTGCACAAAAACTGTACTGTACACCATAACAACGGATTCTATTCATACCGGTTTACCAATTATCAACTAGCAATACAATATTTCTGAATAAATTTATGGGGAGGAGTGAGTGGTTAGGGCTGAGGCGGAAAGGAATGAACACTGGGCCTCCAATCAACTACCCGGGGTATATATTTTGGGTGATACGGTAAGAATCACGTGGATATTGACTCTGCACAAGGAAACACATTTCAATGAGATTTATTAATCTGATAATACTGTGCGGATATAAATTGATATATGGATTACGTTAGTGTCACTTGAGACACGTGTGGCAGATGATTAAAGTCTGACTCATCCTTGTGGTTTTGTTGCCCAGAGGAAGTTAGAGATGCTGGACAGTGCAGAGATTAGCTTCAGGTACACGAACAAAGGAAGAGTTTTAAGTTTACGTAATCGAGCCATGATGTTACGGATGCGTGGCTCTGGCCGCCTAAGTTTGTTTGTTTGTTGTTTAACGCCGCACTCAGCAACATTCCAGTTATATGACGGCGGTCTGTAAATAATCCAGTGATTGACATCGTGAGCATAAATCCACGCAATTGGTATACGATGACATACACCAAACAAGTCATCGAGCCTGACCACCCGATCCCGTAAGTTGCCTCTTACGACAAGCGTAGTCGCCTTTTACCGCAAGCATGGGTTGCTGAAGACCTATTCTACCCCGAATCTTCACGTGTCTAGTCGCCTTAGTGATACTGCCTATAGCACACGAGTATATCAAGTTTTGTCTTTTGAGAATACAATATTAAATACTAAATATATTCTGTGCAGAAATGTACCCTTTCGGATTCCGGGTTAATATTGGTTGTAAGAGACGACCTAATGAATCGGATAGTCAGGCTGTGTGACTTGCTTAATTGCCTGTCGTCGTATCGCGACGGCGTTGATTGTTGCTCATAATATCAATCACTTGATTGTCTGGTCCAGATGTTTTACGTAAAGCTGGAATATGGAGGCAGCAACCTTGCTTACATTGCTTGCCACACACAGGCACCTTTTGCTAACTAGATATATGACTACACATAGAAATGACATAGTGAACACGATATCCACATCCATTTTAAGAACGCATGTGAGTATTATATTGATTCATGTAATAATGTATTTAAATGGTCATTATGGCTGTGTTTCTCCTCATACAGATGTCTAGTTTCTCACTTGCTTTTAAAACTAGTGAGTGAGTGAGTATGGTTTTACGCCGCTTTTAGAAATATTCCAGCAATATCACGGCGGGTGACATCGGTCTTCACACATTGTACTTGTGTCGGGAATCGAACCTTGGTCTTCATGACGAGCCAGGGTTTTAACCCACAAAGAACTTTATAATGCAGAGTGAGATTTGAGAGCTAATCATAGACTCATTAACTGCATGAGTATTGAAGACGTGACAACCCTCCGCATGACGCGACGTGTCACACTGTCTGTGATGATAACCTCTAATGGTTGTAGGGAACCGATTTCTCAATCCCATCCTCCTCCTTCGGGACCGGGAGCATCCATGTAACTGGTTCTCAACGCAGTCACATGTAGGACGAAATATGTAGCATCATCATAAAACAGTCGTCGTAGACCTCATCCACTCCCACATACCCCCTACACCCCCCCCCCCCCCCCCTAGCCCCACCCTCACAGACCTCCTACCCCAACATACCCCTACCACCCATCACATACCCCCTACATCCCCCCTAGCCCCACCCTCGAAGACCCCCAACCCCTATATACCCCTACCACCCATCACATACCCCCTAGCCCCACCCTCATAGACCCCCTACCCCAACCCTCACATACCTTTACCCCCACACTGTACACCCTACCCCCATCACATACCCCCTACATTCCTCCTAGCCCCACCCTCACCGACCCCCAACCCCCACATTCCTCTACCCCCACACTATACACCCTACCCCCATCACATACCTCCTAAATTCCCCCTAACTCAACCCCCTACCCTCACCCCTACCTCAACCACACACAATCCCACTACCACCACCCCACCCCTACCTCAACCCCCACAAAAGTCCTACCCCCACCCCATCCCTACCTCAACCACCACCCCACCCCTACCTCAACCCCCATCCCACCCCTACCTCAACCCCCATCCCACCCCTACCTCAAACCCCACATACCCCGCATTCGCATCGTGTCACACGTCATGTCAGCTTCTATCAAACCTACGGCCATATTTGTACCTGCAGACCACGAACTCTGCTATGCGTTCAGTGTGTGTCGATCATCGACAATGTTAATGGCTATCTGCTGTTGTTGCTTTGGTTTCCATGACGGATTGTGCATTCGTCGTATGTTTAAAAAAATGACACCTATAAATAAATATGTCTGTCACGTTTCATGGTACGTATTCAGAATGTTAGGCTTAAATAAGAGATTAAATGGGCCCCAGTACACAGTAAAATTTAATTGTACCTTCAAGTAAATAATTGAATGCGAACAAAAACTCCTACCTATCAACTTCACTAGCCTTTATTGTTCACTGAACGTTAAAACTACACTAATTGTGACTAAGAAAGGAATGTTTGAGATGCCATACGCTGGTTATTAAATGTTACACCCATGTTTGCTATACACACTGTCATACTTGTGTGCCTGCTCGTGTCCGTTTGACGGTCAGACCGCGCCTTCGACTGGCGTCATCAAAAATATGACTTTATTAGTATCTCTCTGTTACTGTTGACAAGCTAGAGTGTCCTTGTTCCTGGCTGCACGTTAAGGGGGGGGGGGGGGGGGGGGGGGCATCAATAAAATAAAAGTATTTCAGTTATATCGCGGCGTGTCAGCTTAATGTGACAGACCTAGAAACATAACGGAGACATGATCCTTACTGGCACACATTAGGCACCTAGTCCAAAATAATAGTCCCGTTATGACAATCAAACCTACTTCCATCTTCTGTTTTCAAAAGATACTTTTTCTTTTACAGTGTGAAATAGAATTTTGTTTTCTTCACTTTTTCGTTTGTTTTGGACTTGACAATTGACTTGCCCTTGCGTGTTTTTGTTCGGTGGGGTAGAATAAGGTCAACTATTCGCGAACACTTGGTGTCATCACTATTTAATAGTGGTCCCTAAGCACATGCTTAAGATATAGTCAGAATGTACCCTGTTTCAGCTTTGGGTACAGCTTTCTCATTGATTATTGAACTAATTTTTGTCGCCATTTTTATAAGAATTAAAATGAGTTCACTTGACAGTAAATACAATTAACGAGAACCAACAGTCATACATTTCCATACTTTGTAGAGCAGGATTGATGACCTTTTTGACAACACTTGCTGTCATCACTGATTTTCAGTGATCCATTCATATACTTGTCAACGGCTCAGCGCTATTTTGCTTTTCACCCGTAATGGAATCTGTTTCGTCGGAAAGTCGAGATATGTTTTTCTCTTGCGTTGGCGGTTAATATATTCAATCATTTGGGAATGAATCACACAAAACTCAAATATCTATTATTAAAACACACCAAAATGAACAGAGTCTACACATGAAAAATAATGAAAATTGATACGAATGTAAAACTATGGTAAAAAACGTCAAACATAATCACAGAACAGGAAAATGCTAGTGTTCATTATTACGTGTATGTGCCATATGTGGGAAAATAGAAACAAAATAGATCGGTTATGACAATCACAAACTATTATCGGCATTGTTATTTTAGGTACCACGGACGTGTATTTTTAATTAACATTTGAATAATATTAAATTATTATGATAACTTTATACTTACTATCCCCTTCTACCCCAGTATACGTCCGGCAGTTGGTAAGTCCATCACACATGTATTGCCACAATCCGGAGTATAGCACAGGTGTGTCACCATCCCCACCTTCACGTTTCCACGCAGGCACTCCAAAAGCTACGGTGAAACCTACAAATCCGAGGATCATAACACCAAACCCAAAGCGGTACAACCTCCCCTTTTCCGCCCAGTGGGGCATGGTGGTGCCTCCAGATCTCACTCTGCGGCCTGACTACCGCTATCTCCGTGTCCTCAGCATGGTTCCTGGAAATCAAGCCACTTCGGTGAATAGTTAATTAATAATGCTGTGACAGCATGTATACACAAGTGCAGGAATTCACCCTCAGGTGCTTGTCATCAAATACCATGGACACCAATAAATGAGTAATGTTAGCTGGGGGCTGAATAGGTCCGTCGTTATCAGTGTCACCCGCTGAATAAAGTGTTTGTTGTTCTCTTATCTAACTGTACGCGTCACGTAATTTCCTCATAGGCCACAATGGTTTCTTACAGGTGTTCCTTGATAGTAGTGCATATCCCTTTTGAATCAATCAATTCCTGTACCTATATGTTGAACTGAGTTGACAGGTGATGCATCACGCATACTCAGTGAAGATGACACTGTATTACCATATAACATATGGCCGATCACCAGATGTTATCGATCTCTGAGGCACGGTTTCGTCAGTAAAATACAACCAACTGACCTGGTTACGTATCACAGGATGAGGAGATCGATAGAAATGTGACCACGCTTGTCAAATATTTCCTATTTTCCAAGCTCAACCCAAACTGAATTGAATAATCCCGTGGTTAAGCGCTGTAAGCAGCTTATCAAACTAGGCGTTGTCAGCTATGTCAACATGCACGGCTAAGCTGCCTAAGGTCAGATTAACACACTGTCAATTGCATGCATGCTGCGCTGCTTGATAATGCCGTTACTGTATGACGTATGTTTACTTTGTATTACCTTGCGACTTCCTGGAAATTGCCCCATTCGTCGAATCCCATATGCGTGCACTTTGTCCGTGGTAACATTGATATGTGCGGATATGCACACAAGTTACAGAAGGCTGTGACCATTAACGCGGCAATTACCATTAACGCGGCAAGGTAGCAGAATATAAGGTCACGGGTTAAACACGTTTAAATAACTTACATGTATATATTGAAAAAAATGATTTCCGTGCCATTACGTCGTTGAAAAACTGCTCTGACGTCCAAAGATCTGTATGATCATATTGCGGTTTTAAACATAAAAATGTTTCTTTTTTTTGGTTCTATGTTAATAATTCATTTCGAAACCCAATGTATATACCATACACGGATACAGGTGGGGGTGGCAAGGGGCGTACTTACTATGTTGACGTATAAATAAACATACATAAATCGAAATGTGGTGACAATTATATTTGACTACTTTTTGGCTAACAAACACAAATTGTTTCCCGAAATATTTCCCTTATTATTTGCCATGTTTGAATTTTTTAAATATTTTGTTCCAGAAACAAACGTTCTCAGGTGTTGCTCCAAACAAGGTGCTAATTGGACATGCTGGCCCGAACAAGTTGAGACAAAACAATAATTGTTAGAATCTAGCTGTCATTGTGATAAGTGAGTGTTTTGAAGTAGATCCCGCAAACAAGACACACACGCCCTCACACACACACACACACACACACACACACACACACCCTCACACACATACACACCCACCCTCACATACACACTTACCATCACATACACACATACACACACCCTCACACACACACACACACTTACCATCACATACACACATACACACACCCTCACACACACCCTCACACACACCCACACCCACACACACACACACACACACACACACACACACACACACACACACACACACACCCTCACATACACACTTACCATCACATACACACATACACACACCCTCACACACACCCTCACACACACACACCCTCACACACACACACACACACACACACACACACACACACACACACACACACACACACACACACACACACACACACACACACACACAAACACACACACACACACACACACACACACACACACACAAACACACACACACACACACACACACACACACACACACACACACACACAAACACACACACACACACACACACACACACACACACACACACACACACACACACAAACACACACACACACACACACACACACACACACACACACACACACCCTCACACACACACACACACACACACACACACACACACACACACACACACACACACACACACACACACACACACACACACACACACACACACACACACACACACACACACACCGACCGCCCTCCACACATAACATTAAATGGTGGGACCCTTACAAGGCGATATGCATGACTCAGCGCGGGCCGGTGTATGAATGCTGGCATGTGTTATGTAGTTACATATCGTAATGTGCCACGTTATTGATCTAATACGAAATAGAAATGCCTCGCTATGCATGTGAATACTTTTAAAGTGAAATTATATCCGGTTAGTAGCTGAATATGTTCACATAATCAATATTTAGTTGTCTGATAACAATGTGGTAGTCATGGTGACAAGCGGGCAGTTTGTTTGCCAATCTTTGATAAATACATGCGTGTATGTGTAACCTCATTTAACACGTATCCCTTCTCATCTGTATGACTCAAGAAATGGTGTTCTCTAGGATCAAGAAAACACTTGCTTCGCCATGCAGTTCAAGAACAGAGATGCTCAGCAATGTGGTTCAGGAATACCCCTGGAGAATGAGCACAGGAGATCAGTGCTCGCATCTGTAGTGAAATTAAATAGTTATCTGTTTACCGTGTCGATCCAACGAAGGTTCCGCTTAAACGATGAAAGCCGGCGTAATATGTTAAGTATTGTGTCAAAGTGTAACTGCCATTTAAAATCTTAATCACAGTATATTCCTTTTGTAAACACGGGGGCTCGCTTCGTGTTTGTTTTTGTTTTTGTGGGTTTTTTAACGCCGTACCCATCAATGTTCCAGGTATTTGACGGCGGTCTGTAAATAATAAAGTCCGGACAAGACAATCCAGTGAGTGAGATCATGAGCATCGAACTACGTAATTGAGATACGATGAAATGCATCCCCTTACTCGCCCCTTACGACAAGCATGGCTTGCCGAAGATCAGTTCTAACCCGGAACACCACTTGAGCGTGCTTGTTAGATGTGGATTTGTTATGGGAACACCTGGTTTGGATATATTGATTTATCTTGATTTTTGTGGTCACCTGTTTGCTTTGTTTTTCTACATTTGCAAAAGAAAATTGACTTTGTAGCCTTGGTTAGTGAGTAACAATATATAGCCATATAGCGACTTGTAGCCTTGGTTAGTGAGTAACAATATATAGCCATATAGCGACTTGTAGCCTTGGTTAGTGAGTAAATATATATAGCCATATAGCGACTTGTAGCCTTGGTTAGTGAGTAACAATATATAGCCATATAGCGACTTGTAGCCTTGGTTAGTGAGTAACAATTAAACGTCTCATCGGCATTATTTCAGCCACATAGCGACTTGTAGCCTTGAGTTGTTAGTGTAAGACCACACCAGGTCGTAAGGGGGGTGATAACAAGAGACAGACACATATATGTGCTAAAGACGTTCATTCATCACAGATCCAATAGTGAAGCATCACGGTGAGTAACGAAGGGTGAAGATGAGCGTCCCAGGTCGAGTCAAGCAGATATAAACTCGACCAAAGGGAGTTTGGTGAGGGTGGAGCTGAGTGTCATAGATTGAGTGGTGAAGTGTAAAGCTGATCGTCACAGATCGAGTGACGAATGGTGGAGTTGAGCGTCACAGATCGAGTGGTGAGGCGTGGAGCTGATCGTCACATATCGAGCGACGAAGGGTGGAGCTGATCGTCACAGATCGAGTGACGAATGGTGGAGTTGAGCGTCACAGATCGAGTGGTGAGGCGTGGAGCTGATCGTCACATATCGAGCGACGAAGGGTGGAGCTGATCGTCACAGATCGAGTGACGAATGGTGGAGTTCAGCGTCACAGATCGAGTGGTGAAGGGTAAAGCTGATCGTCACAGATCAAGTGACGAATGGTGGAGTTGAGCGTTACAGATCGAGTGGTGAAGTCTTAAGCTGAGCGTCACAGATCGAGTGGTGAGGTGAGGTGAGGTGAGGTGAAATGGGGTTTAACGTCGCGTCCAAGATCATTGCACTTATATAGTGACGTGCATGTACGTGTGGGTGTGTTTGTGTGGCTGCTTGTACTAGTCCGGACTGATGCCGATTTATAGTGCTAGCCCACTGAGATTCCATGCCGCACTTTAACATGACTACCCCACTCAGACACAGTATACTGACTCCGAGCCGACCAGTCCTTGTTTTAGCCCCTTAATGACGAGCGCCAGACAGGGTAACAACAAGTACCATCTTTTAACGTCTTTTGGTATGACGCGGCCGGGGATCGAACCCCTCGAGTGGCGAAGGCTGAAGATGAGCCTCACAGATCGAGTGACCAAGGGTGGAGCTGAGTTTCACAGATCGAGTCAAGCAGATATAAACTCGAGTAAAGGAAGTGCGGTGTGATGGTTGGAGGCGTCAGAGGTGCCATCTAGTTAATTATTCAGCAGATATATAACTATGCGTAAATGCTATCGAGAGCCCGTTGAAATAAATGTGTCGCTGCCACACATGTCAAGAAGAAACGTTTTCGGCTCACATTTACATCATCAGAACTATATGACACAACATGCCGCGCATTGCGTAACTGCCCCCTTGCCTTCTGACGGACACAGTTCGCAAAACCCGACATGTAAATGTGATGGCTGTCAAAAATAGGAATGAAACCATGACGTTTTGGATGCCAATGATATTTCAAGCTGTGCATTAGCATACATGTCGACTCTCGTTGCTGAATGGCGTTAGTTTCCGACATATCGTGCGTGTTCTACCAGGCTGCGCATGGAAAGTACTTGGTAATCAAGGGCCCTTATGAACACCTTGTCGCTCGAAGTGCAAACTCACAAGACTCATTCGCCATATTGATTTATTTCCCCTGTGATCCATATGAATGTGATATTTCATTTTGCATAACGCATCTAGACATCTTCAAGCGCCCCAGTATATTAATAGTACAACTGCATTCATCTTCAAAGATTAGGAAGGATATATATATAGGTCCGGAATATTTTTGTAATTTTAACCGGTTTTTTTTAAAGCGACCTTTACCACTTCAATGTCATTTGCACCTGTGTCCAATTTCAGTTTTAGAACATTGTGTGTCAGATTGGCGGCCTAACCTGGCAGAGGTCACCGTGACCTAGGGCCCATCTCCTCATACTTGAAACCGCTGGGACCGTGGCCCAAGTCACGTGGTACATTAGAGTATCAAAGTAACTTTTTTCATAAGTTTGAAACCGACTCAAGAAATTAACATGAAAGAAAATCGAAAATCATTTTTAACTATTCTAACTGGCTCATTATATAATGGTAAAGCGGGCGTAAAATCAGAGTTGTTTATCTTGTGATGTGATACCTGTTATTCACTGAGATTATTCTGTGCTACAAACGGACGCTCTAAATAGCTAACAGTACTATTAATAGTAATCGGACTAGCAGTGACTAGTTTTCTCCTATCTAGGGATATCCTCAAAGCTGCAACGACAGCTTCATGACTGAAAACATTAACAATGGTGTACGAGGCAGCATGGTAACCGATCCAATCTCTGCTGTACGATTGTCTTCAGTGCGGGATAGTACTGTTTGAGAGCCAGTGTCACACATTCAGCAGTGTAGTATCACATGTACTTCAGATGTTATGGTCCAATCATCTAAGATGCCACAATTCCATGTTCAGAACTGAGTCTCTGAGGCGTGCCAGAAACATATGACCATGGGTTCGAATCCAGGTTCGCCATGATTATGTTCTGAGATTTTTTAGAACCGTACCCTTGCTCGTCGTCAATGTCAAGACGTCAAGACGTGCATAACTACATGGACTACCCATCACACTTATATCGTTATCACTTGTTATATATGGGCTTATAAAAGACAAGATGATATGCTACAATAACTGATGGTCAGCCATCGTGACCTATAGAACCACAGGGAGAATAGGTCTTCAGCAACTAATGCTTCCCGTGAAAGGCGACTATGCTTGTCGTAAGAGGCGACTAACAGGATCACGTGGTCAGGCTCGCTGACTTTGCTGATGCATGTCATCGTATCCCAATTGCGTGGAACGATGCTAGTGATGTCAATCACTTGATTGACTGGTCCAGACTTGATTATTCACAGACCGCCGTCATATAGTAGGATATTGCTGAGCGCGGCGTTAACCAACCAACCAACAAAACAACAGTACTATATTTCGTTTGCCTTCACTTTGCTTTATCCCATCTTCTGCTTAAGACGAGCATGTGAACGCAGTTGGCGGCAGGGCAGGACATGCTTACCCTTTGCGCGAGCACCTGTTGTCGCCACTGATGTCCTTTCGTCCATTGACAGCCTCCGTGGTCTAGTGGTAGAGCGTCCGCCCGGAGAGCGGAAGGTCCGGGGTTCGATCCCCGGCCGCGTCATACCAAAAGACGTTAAAAGATGGTACTTGTTGTTACCCTGTCTGGCATTAAGGGGCTAAAACAAGGACTGGTCGGCTCGGAGTCAGTATACTGTGTCTGAGTGGGGTATTCATGTTAAACTGCGACATGGTATCTCAGTGTGCCAGCACTATAAATCGGCATCAGTCCGGACTAGTACAAGCAGCCACACACACACACACGCGTACATGCACGTCGCTATATAAGTGCAATAATCTTCGACGCGAAGGTTGTTGCCTGGCGTTGACGTTATATATATACAAGATTAAAAGTTACCTATTCTAACTTACTTTGCTTTCCCTAAAAGTACGATGTAGGGTAAGGGCCCAGTGGAAATGTCATCGTTGCAGAATACTTTTCCTTTCTTACAATAAAACGTTCAGAACCTCTTACATGATCAAATGCAAATGTTTGGCTAAAAAGGCCAAGTCTTCGAACTTAAGAGAAAATCGGTGTATGAAAAATACCCGTGACCCAGGATGACTGTTTTATATGTTTGTACAGCTGAAAATCATGCTGGGTCAAAGACTTGCTCATATTCCAATCCAGTAAACTACGGTTATAACAAACTCAAAGGGACTACTTATTTTAATTCGTTATAACCGTAGTTCGTTATAAGCATATGTATAACATACATACACAAGATGGGCGGGACCGAGAAAAAGTTCGTTATATCCGGAAGTTCGTTACAAGCGTGTTCGTTATAAACGTAGTAAATGTATTAGAAAGCACTTCCTGAAAAACTCATATGACATATTTCATCCTTACCTTTGCATTACGTGCTGTTATCAGCCCCCAAAACATACACCTGTTGAACTGAACTAATTCACATTTGTATGAACACATGATAACATTCAGGAATAAGTAAACGTTTTCCTCATGTCTGTATTCAATGATGAATATCCCGTTGGCCAAATGGCCACTAAGCATACCTTATCCTTTGCTTTGCATGTCAAGTAATAGTTCAGCGTGCCTGTTTCGCTTTAAATGTTCTTATGTGGTGCTACGCATGTTTGAGTTCTTGTGTATGTGTGCTAAAATGGTTTCCAAGTCACTGCTTCGGGTGGATCTGGTGCCATTACTAAGGGTACAAGGGCTGCATACACTCTATGTTCAATTTGTGTAAACAACGAATTTGTTGGGTTCATACCTCTTCATGTTTGTGAGATATATCTTATAACCCTGGTTCATAGGTTTCTTCAGAGAATTATACTTGGCTACCCCGCCGTCCCAGATGGTGAAACCAGAATGTTCGGTCCTTGAGGTGAGGTGAGGTGAGGTGAGGTGAGGTGAGGTGAGGTGAGGTGAGGTGAGGTTTAACGTCGCCTTCAGGATTCAGGATTGTTTCACCAATATAGTGACGTGGATGCACGTGTCTGTATGTGTGTCTGCTTGTACTAGCCCGGACTAATGCCGGTTTTACCGTGCTAGCCCACTGAGATACCTTGCCGCTCCTTAACATGGAGCCTCCACTCAAACACAGTATACTGACTCTGAGCCGACCAGTCCTTGTTTTAGACCCTTAACGCAGAGCACGCGGCAGGGTAACAACACGAACCATAATTTAACGTCCTTTGATAAGACACAGCCTTCCGCTCTAGCTTCCGGACAGACGCTCTATCCACTAGACCACGCAGACAACATAATCATGAGTAAATTAAATAAACATCAAACATAACAAACGTATGAAATAACATATAGTATTTACAGACAACAGAAGTAAATACACATATTGCAAATACAAAGGGGTATCCTTTTGATTACTATAAAACGACAGTGTTGCTATATGATAATGGTGTGTGTTTTTTAAAAATATATCACTATTTAATGGTCGATAGTGACAGTTATCAAATTCCATGGGATACCACCTGTTACAAGGTATTGAGAGGTTGCATACACTCATGCGGACACTCATGAGGACTTAACCTGGATGGCAGCAGTCTATACCAAACTACAAACAGCTCATCACTTTGACTTTTAAACCAAATGTGCATGCATCTAAGTCCGGATAAAGATGGTGTCAGTTTACAGAATATACGAATATATTATCTTTCTCTGATTGATAGGACAAGAAACATTTAGGACAAAGCTTGTAAATAGCTGATCTGGCCATATCCAACCAGACTAACCCGTGAACATTTATGTACTAAACTATAAAATTGTTTCTGTTTTGAAACTGAAAACAGTTAAAGCTGTCGTAATTTATTCCAATGGCTGAGATACTGCCATGTTGTCTTTCGTTACACGTGTGGAGTCACGTGATCTTCTGCATTGTTGACAAAATATAATTCAGACATTATTGTTGACGTAAAATAATTCAGACATTATTGTTGACGTAAAATAATTCAGACATTGTTGACGAAATGTATATCAGACATTATTATTTGATGTAATATAATGCAGACATTATTATTGACGTAATATTATTCATACGTTATTGTTGACGTAACATAATACAGATATTTTTCTTGACAAAATAATACGTCGTAGAATTGACGTATAATAATGCAGACATGAATTTTGGCATAATTCAGAAATGATCGTCATGTCGTTATTTCAACTTCTCGACGCGGTTTTCAATATAGAAAACAGTATTGAAAATATATGCATAATTTATACATTCGTGAGTCCATCAAACCCATATAATATGTTCTCTATCTGACGAATACACCAATACATGTACATTGTCTGGTCTACATTAATAATAAGATCGGGTAGCTTGAAAGAATATCTATTGATAACATGTGCCTTAAATACTGAGAGTGGGCAGCAGATGACCACCTCCAGCTGGCCGTGTAATGTTCTCTGTCATATACCAGCACTGTACTGAACCAAACCATCACTTCATTGCTCACACACTTCCCTCACTTGGCTCGGTCAGTGTTGTGCCATTCAAAGACCATTGCTTTTGCAGGAGTCCTGAATAATGCATATATCTTCTTGTTATATCCAGGTAACAAATATATTGAAATTTATGAATATTAATAAGTGATATTGTCACACAAATTATGCAAACGTCAAAACAACTCAATAGTGAAAACATTAACATGGAATGCATCAAGCTGGGCGCCATGCTCGGTTCTCGGGTGACATAAAAAGCAGAGCTGACCCTTGCTCGCAAGAACTCTTGGGAGGTGTCGTTAAGTCCTTATGTTATGCATTGAAGATTTATGCCTGATAACACCTTACCTCAAGAGGCATTATACTGACATGTACTATAAACATAATATACATTATATTAACGACTTCAGGCACTAAGCCATGGGCGAGGGAGTAGCCTTGTGGTTAAAGCGTTCGCTCTTCACGTCGAAGACCCGGGTTCGATCCCTATATGAGTACAACGGTTCTGGTATTCCGAGCCATTACATTTCTGGAATATTGCTAAAAGCGGCGTAGACCATATTCACTAACTCAAGCACTATGCCCACCGGTCTGGTGCCTAGTTTCAGTCTAGGCACTGACTGAGACATCTGTGTAAATGGGGTAATCGTTAACTGGTAGATTGATAAAGTCATAGGTTTTGAATAAGCAGATCAACAAAGTGGGTTTCGAATGATTCGCATCATACGTGCTTGGGCTGTAAATTGGCCGGAGCCTGGTCCCCCATTAATTAAAAACCTTACAATCAATACCTATAGATGAGTAACGGTCTGTCTATTCAGTGTTCATTGTGATGATAGTCGCGGAACACTTTCGGGACACTATGAATTTCATTTAAAAACAGTCCACGACTTCATTCAGCGTTCACACATCACAGTACAGTTCGCCGCCGGCTCTGAAGTAAGGATGTATCATGCGGATCCCCTCATGGCTTCCTCATAGCTAGGGGGAGCGTCAGCGAAGTCGGGCGGTTTGATGAAGGAAGCGTCTTGAAAGGCTGGGTTAACCATTGGGCCTCCAGATCCTTCCCAGTAGGCAAATCCGGCAGAGCCACCTGGCGGCAGGTTCATTCCCGTGGACCAGGTCTGCATCCTGTTGGCCGGGGGAGCGGCAGGACGTCCCCGTCGTGAACACAGGAGGCAGGCACTCAGTATCATCATGGCGTTCCCCAAAACCGCCAAGGCGAACCCCCAGGACAAGCTGGCGTTGTTCCGAGACACCAGCAGCTGTGTCCGTATAGCGTAAATGGAGGAGGCGATGATCCCAGTGATACCTTCGGAGAAAACGTCACATGGATTAGCTGCTTAAAACAAGAAATTGTGAAGGTATTCACAGGTGTAATGTGAAATCAACAATAGTAACAAGACCTGTACTATATAGCAAGAAATTGAGAAGGTATTCACAGGTTTAATGTGAAATCAACAATAGTAACAAGACCTGTACTATATAGCAAGAAATTGAGAAGGTATTCACAGGTTTAATGTGAAATCAACAACAGTAACAAGACCTGTACTATAAAACAAGAAATTGAGAAGGTATTCACAGGTTTAATGTGAAATCAACAATAGCAACAAGACCTGTAATATAAAGCAAGAAATTACTGCGTCAACAATTTAATGCGAGTAACAACCTAGCTAAAATGCGTTATGAAGTTAATGCGAATAGTCCTCTGTTTGGAAATTTAAAAACGCTCTTTCATTAATAGTCAAACTACAGCACAAAGAATGAAGACTATGAGGTATCAGCAGTTCGACTGTATGGTAGCGTTTTCGTTTCTCACAAACATAACTTCACTCACTTGACATGTGGTCCAACTCCCATGACTGTATTAACATATATTGGTAAGTATGGGGTGAGATGATGTGAAATGGGGATTAACGTCGCGTCCAAGATTATTGCACTTGTATAGCGACGTGCATGTACGTGTGTGTGTTTGTGTGGCTGCTTGTACTAGTCCGGACTGATGCCCATTTTATAGTGCCAGCTCACTGAGATACCATGCCGCAGTTCAACATGAATACCCTACTCAGACACAGTATACGGACTCCGAGCCGACGTTGTTTTAGCCCCTCAATGCCGAGCGCCAGACAGGGTAACAAGAAGTCCCATCTTTTAACATCTTTTGGTATGACGCGGCCGGGGATCGAACCCCGGACCTTCCGCTCTCCGGGCGGACGCTCTACCTCTAGACCATGGAGGCGGTCTGGTTAGTATGAAGAGTTAGGGGAATACCTTCTTGATTATAAAGATGTTTGATGTCATTTTGGAATTTGAAATTACCCTGTCATAACCATCTAATAATCCATATATAAACAGGCAAATGTCCCCGGGTTCCGGGAGTGGTAATCTGTCCAGGGGCAATACTAACAGTACTTATTTATCCTCCAAACCTTTCTAGTAATCATTAAATGAAATCCATTTGGCAATACCCTGTGCCCCACGCTAAGATAAAACATGTATGTGTCTAAACAATGACGAAATCTCATCACCCTCGAGCATTAACGTTCGGCCCGACTACGTGATGAAGTATTTAAAATATACTGGTATGTAAACACGCCCCGTAGTCGGACACAAACATATCCATTGTGTTCAAGGTTGCCCCGAAACAATTTCCTTGTCACAGTCATCGCGATCCTATCGGCTACAGTATACATTAATTTGTCATAATATGAAATGTGGTATTGTTCTTGTCTTCGCACGTTAAAGCGTGGATTGTCACAAGCAGATAAAGCAAACAAATTTGAAAAAAATACACGTGGGTCTGTTCAAACATGACATTCAGTTTCACTCAGACATGTCCAGCAAAAGGGTTATTTATCAATACCGGCATGTCCTAAAAGGTTTTTCTTATTAAAACATGTACAGTGCGCTTCAACATGTCGCCTGTGTTGTTTCGAGCGATGGCGTGGCCGCTTGGCATGAGGAAGTTCCAGGTTTCCAATGTCTAATGTTGATATGCGTGCCCACCAACGTGATGTCCATAGTTACAAACATGTTGCAATAAAAAGTCTCGTGCCCTTGTCGTGGATGAGGAAGAAATGTGAGTGAGTATTGCTTTACGCCGCTTTTAGCAATATTCGAGCAATATCAATGCGGGGAACACCAGAAACATGCTTCACACATTGTACCCATGTGGGGTATCGAACCCGGGTCTTCTGCTCGGCTTCGACGAGCGAACGCTTTAACCACTACCCCACCACCCCTGCACGAAGAGGACTGGTCACAATGGGTGCTGAATAAGGGTAGCACTGTGGCACGGGGATCGCGGGGACGCCTGCAGTGACCTGGCTGGAGGGGTCTATGGTAATTGTCTTTTGTCATTGCGTCATCTTTTATTTCCATTTCCATTCAATGCCTAATTTTTAAATATCTTATTTAAATTTCAAATTAGGCATATGCATGTACATATGTTATATTTAGCTAAATATTTTGCAATTATTTGTTTGTTTGTTTGTTGTTTAACGCCGCACTCAGCAATATTGTAGCTATATGACGGCGGTCTGTGAATAATCAAGTCTGGACCAGAAAATCCAGTGATTGACATCATGAGCAATTGGGATACGATGACATACATCAACCAAGTCAGCGAGCCTGATCACCCGATCCCGTTAGTCGTCTCTTACGACAAGCATAGTAGCCTTTTGCAAAGAGATGTGAGAAAACACTGATTTAATAAACATACCCTTATATTTCTTTTTCAATATTATTGCATTGTGGGACGATAGCCTTTAATACTGGCTACATCTGTCTGTCTGTGGGGTAGCCCTGTGGTGAAAGTATCCGCTCGTCACGCCGAAGACCTGGGTTTGAATCCCGACATGGGTACAATGTGAGAAGCCCATTTCTTGTTTTTCTCGCAATGATACTGCTGGAATATTGCTAAAAGCAGCGTAAAACAATACTCACTCACTGTCTGTCCCTCTGCCTTGTCTGTCCGTTAATATATTTCCCTACATTTTATCCTCACTACCTCACACTTCATAAAAAGTTAATGGGTCAGTGTTATTTTACGTAGCAGTCAGCTGCCTGTCAATAATAAAATCCAGACCACACCACATGACGTATAAGTAACGAACGACGTCATCAGGGTACGATGAGGTAGCGCCTAACCACCCGATCCCCAGAATGAGTTTTAAGAAACTATACACGGCAGAGAAGCTGTAGCAACATGTATATGGAGACATATGGGAAAATGTCACTGGAAATGAAATAATGAGTATATGTATCCTGCAGAAACATACACATGCATGTATAACCTTGTGTACATTAATCAATTTGGAGGGAATGCACATATATCCACTTCCCAGTGATACACCATCATGAAATATGTTTTGTTGTTTCAATTACATGGGTTATTCGCAGTGCTTTTAATGCAAATAAGAGGTATTAAATCCGAATGAAATTCAAACGTCACAGGGAAGAATAATTACAAAGTTCTTATCACAGCAGGTAGGGGTTTTCCTGGTCATCCGGCGCGCCATGTACAGATACACGGCTGTAATCATCAGCCCGTGGCTATACCGTATTTTCTTCAATAAACACTACCACCAGTCCTATCCTGGCCTATGTTAGTATTACCATAGGGTGATTTCAGCTTTCCAAAGGTCCACATTCCCTTTATGTCGAGCAATACTCAAGCAGCTGCAGTCCGTGTCTACATTTCACAACTACAATCGAGCATACTCTTTCGACAAAAAATTCTCAAAGAGGTTTACAACATTCGTTTGTTTGTTTGTTTTGTCAGCAATATTCCAGCTGTATTTGGACAGCCGGTGTCACTGTTCAAGGCCTCAGTAAAGCTTTCAGAAAGCTTTATGGCAGATATGTGTAGGACATTTCAAAATTTGACGCTTCAGTGACAAAAAATTATATCTGATGCAATTCCCTATTTTGACTTATAAAATATGTTCTCGTGTGTTTTTTAGGTGAACAAGTGACTTGCCTTTGCATGTGTTTGTGACGCTCACCCCTTCGCGAACACCTGGTTCCATCACTATTTCGTGTGATTCGTGTTTATGTTCGTGATCGTACAAGGAATAAGGAGATAGCAGAGAGTTCTTGTGATAATGGGAACGGTTTTGTCGCTATATTTACCTGCAAGAGTTGGCAGCGCCTTGACGGACCTCGTGTCCACAGCGGTGCGGGAAAACTGGGTGAAGTTGTATCGTATCAGCAGCAGCAGTGATATCACAGAAAATATCAGACTGATCGTGGCCAGACCTCGGGTGGCTTGGTGCCAAGAATGCATCTCTGAAATGAAGTGGGTGCATTTAGAATAACATCAGACATGATAAAGCTACGGACATTTCTAATTTCATATCTTAATTAAAACACATGTACATAATCATATCATATTTGTATATTTACCTAGTGTCTCATACTGCGTATAACTGAATAATGTGTGTGTTTATTATTTGTGTAACGTTTTCTATTGTATTATATCCTCATCAAAATACAATGTCGCCATCGTCGGTTATTCAGTGTATTATTTAATCATTCTTTTATTATAAACACCCTGACGATGGTCACCATTGCTTCTTTTCGGTCGGGCAGCCTCCGTGGCCTAGTGGTAGAGCGTCCGCCCGGAAAGCGGAAGTTCCGGGGTTCGATCCCCGGCCGCGTCATACAAAAATACGATAAAGGTGGTACTTATTGTTACCCTGTCTGGCGTTCGGCATTAAGAGGCTAAATCAAGGACTGGTCGGCTCGGAGTCAGTATACGGTGTCTGAGTGGTGTATACACGTACACGTACACACACACACGTACACACACACACACACACACACACACACACACACACACACACACACAGAAATGCACTCTCTGTTCCAGAGCTCCAGACCTACATTATTCAACTAACTAGTCCGTACAACAGATGTGCTCATAGTAACAAGGTTCACACTAACAAGAGTCATGGTTAGTTCGGACCATAGAGTGTCCATAGTAACGAGGTCCGAACTGGCACAAAACCTGAGTACATCTGGACTACTCAGGTTAAGTAGCAGACAAGCCCGGAATAAACAGGTTGTGGAGAAAACAGGTCCGGAATAGGGAGATTTCAGGCGTTTTGACATCCAGACTAACAAGGACCCCGAATTAGCGAGGCCCTGACTAAAAAGAATGTAACAATATGTGGACGGGTTAAAAAATGTCTAGATTAACGAGGGTGTGTTATCTACGCTCTATTCACCACCAAAGAGCCACACTTATCATCACATATCACTCTTCAACTAACTATACAAGCACATAACGGGAAGAGTAATTACCCATACAGTCAGGCACATCCAAGATTACACTATTATAGACTGCGACTGTATGAAGGCATCAGCATTGATTCATATTTCATGCTAACATCATAATGACAACCAGGCATGGCAGTAATGATTGAAGGGTGGTGTGGCTCCTCTAATACAGTGTGATGCAATTACTTCAGCTCCGTTCGACTTGGCTGTTTTTCCGAGTAATTATTTCTGCAGTTCTTTGATCAATACTACACTTGAAGAAATAAATATGTTGTTGCTGTAGCAACAAAATATGATACGAAACAGAATTGTAGCTTGGAATTGCATGTAAATATGCTTTACACCATTAATCGTTCCGTTTATGTGCCTTAATGGTTATTTATATTCCTGGATTTTAAAGATCTTTGCGTGTAGTTCAACAACCGCATTAATGAAACATTTGCAGCTCAAGTCTTTGTAATCAATAAAGAAACGGGATATCGTTGCGAAAACAGTCTTGCCAGACCTCCCTTTATAAGGCACCACGTCGAGTAACGATTTTACATCGCCTCGCGTCTACAAATCTTCAAGGTCGAATCTGAAATGTTGACGGAAAGTCGTATATCAAAATAGCCTACAAGCGCCGTTATCTGTATGGCTGTCCTACTTGCAAGGATGGCCAGGTGATGCTATAAATCCGCAACGAAAAATATCTACTCTCAAGCTTATATTAATCAAGGAAACTAAAGCCCATCTAGCGGGAATGCCACCGCTTCATGACGGCCATTTCGACTGGTTTGTCAACTTGTGCTAGATGGTTATAGGTTCACATTCAGTTTTAGAAGAGCTGATTTACTAAAGCTAAGTACATTTTGAATTATCGGGGTACGGGTTGGGTAGAGTGCATAAACCAGCATTGGCGGCAGAAGCTGGACCCTATGGAATCAAACTCGGATGTTCAGTGTGGCGAGCAAGCGCACCAGCCTCTACACTAAACAATATTTGAGAAAGAATGGGACGTATATGACTTAAAGCTGTATGCTGTCTCGTATTACTTATACGCTGTGATGCCCTAACCGATCTTTATGCTTGCCGTGCGGCTTTGTATGGTCAGTATTGAGGGAATGAACGTCAGCTTCAAGGGCGTAGCGAGGCAAATATAACTCGATGCAGTATATTTCTATCTTACACTCTTGTAAAACACTTCATCAAAAACAGATCAAGCACAAGCAGGCCATTACGATGCGAAAGATGGCTACAGATCGATCTCCAATTATGGTGCTGTGTTATGAAAGTCACTGACAGAACACCCGAAAAGGATTCAAAATTTGATCCATATTTAAATCACACCTAAAGTCATGTCCATTTCGAAAAATAATAATGTATGATTTACATTCTTTTTAGCGACATGAGCATATCGGCGAGGTAGAATCTAATGTTTTAATTTCTTTAAATGTTTTTTTTAAAAATTATTAACGAACCTAACTTATCATCGACAATTTGCATACAGGAAACCGACGACTGAAAGAAGAACAAAATATGGAGTTTTTATTTAATATTTAACTTAATTAATTTTGATATATTTTTGTAATGAATTCAAAGTGGAAGCACTAGCTTTTGGTGCCACGTAGTAGTTATGCTACTGTCAGCCCATGTAAACTGAATATTTAATAGACAAGGTACAGAAACACCGACACATTAGTCCTGGCACTGTCAGGCCTGAAAAGGCGCATCATAAGACCCAGATCACGTGTCCTTTCCATCTCTACACGCAGCCCAGACAACGAATTAGACTTCGCATAGTAAACGCTGCCGAGTCGAACCCACCAAGAACTTGATATGAAGACACCCCAACACTGCAGCCTTCTGTATTACCCACATTGTCAGAAGGGACAAATTAAGAGACCATGAAGTACCAAACTAATGACACCGAGAACTCAGGTGAGTCGGACCCACTTCATACCTACGATGCAGGCGTGACATTTCATATGCGAGGTCCGCATATTTACCATATTTCTGAATCACATTGCTGTCAAAACGGACAGAAGATTAAACATTATACATAAATTCACTTAATTTATGAAATAGGACCAGATCAAGTTTATTAGCTTGAATTTATCTGAGGCTGTATGTGGGCATATTCCATAAAGGTTTGTAATAATCATTTTCCATTATTATTAACACATTAAAATAAAAAATGCAGCAACGAGGGTTTGGGTGATCCTGGCACAGTCAGGCTGGTTATAGGCTCATCATCAGCTCAGGGCCCTAGCCGCCCTTTACACGCAGTCCAGACAGCGAATGGGACTTTTCACAGAATGCGCTGTCTAGTCAAACCCACCCAGAACGTTTCGGGGAATGTGAACACTCCCCAACACTGCAGCCTTCTGCATTACCCAGATTGTCAGAAGGGCTGATTGTAAAACCATCACAATTAACAGTAAGTGAGTTAAGATGTATGGACTCATCAGGGGTATGTTGGCCGTATACATGCAGCGACTATAAACACCAGCTGCAGAGATAAAAATACTTTCTAATGCTAATAGGAGCGTTCATATAACGGAGAGGTGTGAGTTAGAGTAGCGATTAAAAATTTCACTTGTCACGCCATTGACACGGGTTCGATTAATGTCACTCGTGTCACGAATAATTCATGATTTGCGTCAAACATAATCGATTATTGGCATGCATAATCGTCTGACGTATTGCATATGTACGAGGGTTGGTCAAAAAGTCCTAAGCCTGACTAACTTTCAACTATGAGCAGTAACAAAGTAAACTAGTTAATGTAGTACATTGTTTGAGTAGTTCATTGCAAGTGTGGGGGCGCGGGTGGCCCAGTCGTCTAAGGCGCCGCGATTCGCTGTGCAGAGTTGCGTCCCTTGGGCACGCCAGAAACCTATGATTGTGGGTTCGAATCCCGGTTCGCCCCGATTATGTTTCTATGTTTGTCAGCACCATACCCGTGCTCGTAGGTTTCACCGAAGTGGTAAACGTCTAAGACCTGCATCACTTCGGGCTTTCCTCCCACATTAAGCTGACACGCCGTGATATAACTGGAATACTGTTAAAAACGACGTTAAACCCAACTCACTTACTCACTCATTGCAAGTGTATTTGGTCTGTTGCGGCCGCTTGTATATTGGTGACAAGTTCACCGTGATAAGGGTCCAAATGGACACAGAAATAGAAAAGAACGAGTACTGAGCAGTCATCAAGTTTTTGACTTTAGAGAAAAGTACGACCCAAGAAATTCATAACCGCATCTCACAAGTGTATGGGAATAAGTGCCCTTGCTATTCCACGGTGAAACGTTGGGCAACAATGTTAAAGGCTAGGAGAACAAGCAATGATGACCCTAGGTCTGGACGTCCCTCAACTTCCATCAGTGAAGATCAATCAAGGAGGTAGAATAACCTCTACTGTCAGATAGACGTATTGCCATTGTAGAACTTGTGGAAGACACAGGTCTAAGCCATGGATCCACTGAAACTATTATTCATGAACATTTACAGATGAATAAGATATCTGCTCGTTGGGTGCAAAAGTTCTTAAATTCTGATCTTGAGGAAAAATGACTGACATTGCCAGAGAAAATTTAGACTTAATTGAGGAGGATTTCGTCAAATTCAAAATGCGATTAGTAACGGGTGATGAAAACAATGGTCTACCACTATGATCCCGAGTCAAAACGTCAATCCATGGAATTGCACCATTCTACTTCTCTGGCACCAAAGAAATTCAGGTCTTCAAGATCAGTGAAGAAAGTTATGGCCACTGTATTCTGGGATGAAAATGGTGTGATCCTTGTTGATTACTTAGAAAGCCAAAAGACGCTTACAGGTGCCTACTATGTTGATTTGCTTCATCGCCTGAGAGATTCTATCAAAGAAAAGCGGCGAGCAATGCTGACTGCTGGAGTTCTACTTCATGACAATGCCACTTCCAACACCTCTTGACTTGCAAAGGCTGCTGTGTGACAATGTGGGTTCGAAGAGCTTCCTCATCTTCCATACTCGCCAGACCTCGCACCAAGTGATTTCCCCGTTTCCTAAACTAAAGGAACGCCTTCTTGGAAAGCGCTATGACGACAACGATGACCTCAAAGCTGCTGTGAATGGATTGTCCAGGTCGGCTTCAGAAAACCTCCTCCTGACTGGAATCGAAAAGCTTCACTATCGATATGAGAAGTGTATTGAAAAAAACAGGGAGGTTATGCTGAAAAATGAAATTAAAAACACTTTCGTAATTGTTGGTTTTGTTTGTTAAGCTCAGAACTTTTTGACCAGCCCACTTTTGAATGTTTGAAAATACACATCAAGATTTAAAGCCACAATATGTAAAGCCTCGTTCTGTACATATTTCAAAGTAAATCTGCGTGCATCCCTTACAAGACGTATTAATATGTACAGGTAAAGAATATAAAGCGCTGAATGTTCTGGAAGGAATTTCGTCATTGACAGTTTCGGGGTCAAGGTTACCAGGGGGGACACGGATGTGTCTGCCTTGTCATCAAGACACAATTGAGTAAACACTCCACCCCTTCCTGCCCATCCTTCTCAGCCAATCAGAACACACCTGATAACCCTAACCCTAACCCTAACCCTAACCCTAACCCTAACCCTAACCCTAACCTAGATGCTGGCGTGATTCACGTACTTGTGGTAGAAGGGCTAATATATTCAAATAGCCAGCAAAGCATGGCGGGATGGAGAGGAGCATGATGTCACTAGTTGGTGGATGAGTGAGTGAATTTGGTTTCACGCCGCTTTGAACAGTTTTACTGTTATATAACGGCCTGTCAGTTTGATGCTGGGGAAAAGGTATTAGACTACTTAGGTGAAACCCACCAGAATGGGAAGAGTGCTGACAAACTTCGACGCGTAATCAAGGGGGAATGAGATTCGAACCCGCTTCTGGTATGCAACTCAAGATAACTGGGCAAACCATGCACCCAGAAGTACATAATGTTGGAATATTAAGTATAATTCCACCCAGTATTATTACTTATATTATACACTGCGAAAATACTAATTCTTATTCAAAACATTCCGCGCCCCTTGGGGCAATGGCACATAGACACGTGATACGGAGATGTGATGACAGGATGTTAACAACCCTGCTTGATGGTACTGTTGTATATACATGCATAAGCATATACTTGGAGACTAATTCAAACACTGGGATATGTACCTGCACTTAAAGTAGGTCGCACTTATATCATCGCTACAGCTAAGCCGCCAACTGCATAACACGTTGCTAATTACACAAGTATCGATTATAGCAGTTAAATTCACACAAGGAGTGGATTAACTTTGATCGCATATCCTTCGTTCAGGTAGCTGAATTGGAGTGTGACGTGATTGTGTCTGTTCCGGTTATAAATAATAACGGCGTGTGTTTAAACACTTGCTACTGAATATATACAAATCAGCGTTGGTACAGGTACACTGAAAAATAATAACAGAATTCTTGATACTGATGCAGTTATTTTTTGCCTTCAAATGTGAAACGGTGAAATCATTTCGATTTCATTTATACAATATGACATCTTGTTTTAATGGTTTTAAAATAAAAATATTTAATACAGTAATTTCATAATTTCAGAAATATAACAGGAATTAGATTATTTTTCGACGATAAAATGAGTGTCCACTAAATAAAATAAAACATAAAATTAAAGTAATACATATGATATTATGAAGATAATGTGTATCTACAAGGTGTATGTCTCTAAAACACATTCTAAAGCATATCAGCTATGCAATGTCGGATTCCTGTGATAAAACCACCCACTGTATATTCAAATATTACCTTCCAAACTCACAGTCACTGTGTCATTTACCTGGGTAATCCATTTTTTTACCACAAATGTTCACCTTATTACAGAAATAAAACAATGTTTACTTATCAGTTGTCACTCACCCTGGTTGAGAGATTCAAACACGGCACACGAAGATATTGTTTTGCCACACATTTGCCACAATCCATGGTATGCCGTCACGCTGTCCGTTTGAAATAGCGAGTATACTTGTGTCCAGGTAGGGCTCCCATATCCTATCACGTACACACAAAACCCCGCAACTTGTATCATCAAGCCCGATTGATACCGGAGTCCTTTTTCCGACCAGTGCGGCATCTTGAAAATGAAATGAACGTCACGGAATGTAATTGACTACATGTTCATGTCGTTGTGTGAAATGTTTATCCACGCACTGGCGTCATTCGTTCGTGCCAGGTAGCTGAAATCTACCTGTAGTCCACAGCGCCTTGTTCATGTCAAGCTTGATATGTATGGCAGGTGGGTAGCCGTTGAACAATGTCTATATCACTGGAGATACTGGTGACTGGTTGACGCAACTGAAATAGCCAGCACCTGTCGGCCATCGACAATCAGCGCGTGAAATCTACCTGTCGAGACAAACACTGTAGATTAGTGGGTCGCTCGCCTTTACAGTTCAACCAATGCGATACGACGCCCCTCGCTGTACGATTACCACGAAAATCAACGAGTTCCTGAATCCGGGGCTGGTAAACCGAAAATGGTTTATTGAACCGGTTTAGTGTGCTGCATATGACAAACATAATGAGTTGAGAGCTTGACTGCTGTGAGTGGCGCTCTGGGATCATTACTATACTATGTTTACAATTACATTCACTCAACCGTGTTTAACATTTACAGGGCTTCGATAGACTGCTCAATTGTGTGTTACGTAACATAAAATTGCTCACCGTAGCATGGTACGTAATCTTTATATTTATATTACCAGGTCACTGAGTTAGTGCCCGCGTCAAGGTAGGTGCGACATATCATGGAAAAACAGCTGGGCTTTCATACTTCCTGGACTGTGATATGTGACAGATTGCATTCCTAGCTTTTCTCAGATGTGTGGGTGTATATTCATATCGTGTAATCACTTTCATATGGCCAATATATACAACGGCACTGTTATATTTTAAATTACGCATCACAAAATGTCGACTGTATAATCATTCTGACTTTCAGAATTCACCTGGTGTAGTTCACTGGTCTTCGTGTATAGGGAGATAAGGAATCGCATAAAATGTGGGTGGACTTCTATTATCCGGGTTTTGTTGTTCTATTCCGCGTGCATGACGTCGCTACTCAGGTGCGTGTTCAAACATAACGAGCAAAGAAAATAACAAGAGCCGTATTTATTCAAGTCGTCGTTGGAGTTTTGCTTATTTCATACGTTTAATACAAATTAATTGGGTTGTTTTTCTGTTACGTAATGACAAATCACACAGTATATTAGCAACCGCCATCTTCACAACATGTACATAATGACAACTCACAAAATATTTAGGTCTATGTTATTAGGTAACAACGATCAGATAAAGACCAGACATACAATATGTAAGTGACAATCATTCACACAATACGCAACTATTTGTAGCGACTGTTGAACACAATATGTGTAGGTAACGGCAAATCACACAATATGTAGGTAACGGTTAATCATACAATATGATGGTAACTGTCATTGACACAATACACGTGTATGTAGGTAACAGCCAATCACACAGTATGTAGGTAACGGCCAATCACACAATATATGTAGGTAACGACCGATAACACAATGCGTTTTAAATGTGCTTCAAACACAGAAACAACTCCATACTCAATCTTGTCGAGTGAGACAGATAAAATGTCCATGAATTTTACGAGTGTTTCAACTGAATAACACCTAAATATATTTTAACATTTGTGTTGCTATTCTCATAACGCTAAAGAATTTTTCATCGTCCATAACTACACTTAAAATCATCTACAAAGTACACACTCTACATGTATATCTACACACATATACCCTATTCATCAGCCATAACATCACATGTGTTTGCTAACGATGTAAGACTTTTCATGTGCATTTAATAGAGTTTACTTACGGTTTTAAAATATAAATTAGAACATAAAGCAGATAACATAATCATCACTTGTTTATGATTGATTTTGCTGTTGTTTAAATCAGTTTATTTGGGCGAAAATAGACCTTTATGGTCCAAGCCGCTCCAAAACTCAAATAGCAGGTTGTATTATTGTTTTCAGTCAACTATACATACATACCGGTGTTACAAATGTCGAGACAGACTTCCTCAATTTCTTTACAACGGTAAAATGGTCTGCAACTTAATCAAACATATTCAGTTAGTACATTTGACTATTTACGTCTCATCAATATAATGTGTTATTTCTCCAATCATTATCTTTATATTTCACCTCTTTAACATATCTATTTCTGTTGCATCATCAATTTTTTATCGTTTTATTATGTATCATGCATTGCGATAATGTTAATTACGAAAATAACGAAGTTGTGGTAACTATTTTGAGGAGCAAAAGAAAGTATACCGAGTTTGTAATTAAAAACTGAAAAAATTCTTGTTAAATTTGAGTATGTGTATTAAAACCTTCACTCATTCCTGCAACAGTTTGTAAAATTTAGTCTGTAATGTTGTGAAAAAATAGATTAGTTCAATTAAAGACTGGTGAAAGAAATGAATTTGCAACCACATGACCTCTGTCATGTCTGAATTATTTTGTGCAGAAAAAAAGCAAATGTATAGATTTTCAAAGATAGGATTTTAACAGTTTTTTAGCATGCGAAAAAATATTTAAAACAAATTTATATCAAATTATATTTTTAAAAATAAAACCATGTAGAAGTATTTTTTTAGTGCTGACTAAGCGCCAGTGTAGTTCATTGTTTTATATAATAACATAATAACTTAAGATATTTTTAGTTCAAAATCAAACATTGATAAGATCAACTGAGAGGTATAGGTTTCTTTGCTCCTCAGTTAATGATCCCATGCATGGCATCATATGTCATCCATGTATGTCGCTCTATGTCATGTATCCACATGTATCCACATGTATCCACATGTATAATGTATACACTGATATCTCGGTCACTCTTATAGTGAGTTTAATTAATGACCAAGGTTGGGCGAGACATTGCTTACAAACAAATGTCATTTTCTCATTACTTGTATATAATTCCTATGCCCTGTACATTTATTCTGCACTATCACTTTTCACATATTACATTGTAAAGAACTCTATATAGAAGGCCTCGTAAGTGTGTCATTTGTGCCTAATCCATTTGATTTTCCGCAATAAAATATGTTTAAATATCAAACAACAACACAAAAGAGTTTACACTGATAATATTACTACTGCGGGGGGTACGTAATGTTATTTATGGAATTTAAATCTGATTTCTAATGACAGTCATGATGTAGGTGTTTTGTTGGATTTAAATGGGGCTGTTGTGTATTTTATTTCTTTATTTAACTATACTAAAGTCTTATAGTTTACATATCCGTTTCATAATGTATGTGAAATTGCTGTAAAAGAAGTTAGTGTCTCGTGGCCAATCTTCTTCGTCTTCTTCTTCTTCTTTTAAAGGTTTACAAAAAGTCATTTATATGCGCCATATATGAAAATGTAACTGTCCTCTTCCCTCAATCACAATGCTTCTGATGACAATAACAAGTGCCTTACAGCGGGAGAGATCTAGACTGGATCAAGCGACTAACATGTTGATGGCCAACATATGCACCATGCATTAGTTTGTCGTAAGTCAAAATCCGTCCTGATACTGGTGTTGAGGGAAAATGTTTTAGCGGTACTCATTTCGCGTAAAGGAAAATATTATCTCCCCAATATTCCTGACGTCATATCCACAACACAAAATGGTGGTGTTTCCCGCATTGTTTGACAACTGAGGGTACATCGTTATTTTTGTTTACATTTACAAAACTTTGGATTATACGTTGTTATCAACCTTGGAGTATTTCGCAATGGAGTCTTCTTCAAGCACTGACATGTCGCTAGAGATGATCAGGGTGGCATCATTTGGTCAAAACCCTCTAAAACCGGTGACCTCAATTCAAGGAATCACCGATTTTACACCAATTCCATCTTCTTTGAAGCTTTCAAAAGCAGGATTCTACCGGGATCCAAGCTCGGAAGGGGATGAAGTAAGATGTTTTTCGTGTGGCCTTGTCATGAAGGACTGGAGTGCGTATTATGGCGAGTCTCCGTTTTCTGTACACTTGTGTCGCAGTCCAGAATGTCAGTACCTCAGCTGTCAAAGTAACGTCGTTTCAAGTGATGAAGATGAACCTAGTCCCTGTTTTACCAGAACCTTGACCCCGCAATCGCCCGAGTTGTTCCTTACAGAGGCAGAATCTACGATCGTAAGACGTCAGTTGTTTCCAGAAGATTATTATGTTCGCACAAATGACAATAGTTTGACAAATTCTCAAGTTCAATCAAGTATCAAACTACCATTTAAGCCAAAGTTTGGCAACAGCGATATGCTTTTTGAAAGCAAGCGACATGCCACATTTGCAGCTAAACCGTGTCTCAAAGCAAAAGAACTGGCGTCCAATGGATTTATCATGTTGACAGGGGATAAAATTGGATGTGTATTCTGTGGTAAACAAACCACCTGTCCTACAGCTGAGTGTACAACACCTGTGAAGGATATACATAGGGCACTGAACCCAAACTGCTCATTCTTCAGAGGATTTGATGTAAGCAATGTGTCATGTGTGTTGGAAGAGTCCATAAAGAGAAACATTGAGTGTAGTGACAGTAACAATTCTAGTGACAGTGAGGAAGATATTAACAATACAACAAGTTCAAGTGCGCCGTGCATGTTCCACAATCCCTATTTTGAGGATTTCACAGTTCGGAGGGAAACATTCAAGGATTGGCCTCCACAGATGAAACCAACAGCACAGCAGCTTTCTGAAGCTGGTTTCTATTACACAGGTTGAACATCCTGATTATCTTACCATTACTTTGACTATATTTTTTACCATGCTGACAAATTACAACAGTTAATGACAGTTAGCATGGTCAACATGTTCAGTGGCAGTTTTGTTCAATTAAATCATAATTGAAAAGATCTTTTACCATGTTTACACGTATGTAAATTACATATATTTTTTATTCTAGCCATGAATCTTTCATCATCCAGATAATTTTTGGTTGACGCGATATAACTGGAATACTGGTTAAAAGCGGTGTTAAACCCAACTCACTCACTCACTCATTTTTGAATGCACAGGGAAGATGTTGAGTGTTATTGTTGCAAGTTTTAAGCATGTTAAATGGGTTATATTTTCCAACCATGTTAAGTTATAACTACTGTTAATTGATGAAATGGTTGTCACGGTAGAGGGAAAGTAAATTAAAATATACACTGTAGTCAAGATAATCATAGCAGTTCATGTACATAATCATGATAATATGTTTTTAATGTAAACGCGATAATTGCAGACATCTTTACATTTCATTTTTACACTTAAACAATGTTGAACATTATCATGATTATAGGTGGATATTAGACAATCTGTACCATGTGTACCCACTGATTTGTACCCATTGAAAATGGCTAACCCGTGCCTAAAATTCTCGTAAGATTCGTACCTGTTTTGGACATGTTGGAGCCTACATACTTTATTTGGCTGAACCTCACCCAAAACATGAGAACCCATACCCAAGTGTGGATGACCCGTACCCATTTATGTTTGAAAGCAAGATGTCCGAAAAAAATAATGTACGTTTCAAATAATTTGTTCATCAGTAAATTCTTACATACTCTGACCATTCTGACATGCACTTTCATTGCAATTTATTCATAGTACTAATACATTTCCAACATTCATTCATATACATTTCCAACATTCATTTTATATTTCCAACATTCATTCATTTGTTGGTGAATGAACAATCAACCAATTAACTCCATCACCATGATCACTGTCTGTGATTTCTTTCATAAAAGAGATGTTCTTGATGGTGTTGATGGTGTTGCGAAGAGACAGTGAATGACTACTAAACATGCTAAACAGTTACTCTTTATCATGTTTAATATGCTAGTAGCATTAGCATGATTAGGATTAAATAAATTGACCATGGTGGCATATTGTTGTTTTAGTATTTAAAGCAACTGATTGTGTTTACTCATGTGTTGTTATATGAAACAAAAAACAAACAAAATCTTCGTTGTAAAATTGTGTTTAATCAGTATGTTGCGGTAGAGCAGATACTTTTAATATTTATAATTAATGTTTCAAATCATGTGTCCTTTGGTCAGTAATGCAGGTAAGAATACAAATGATTAATGTTTCAAATCATATATATTTTCATTGGGTATGGATTCACTTTTTAGGGTACGTGTCCTCCAGTTGATTAGGTATGAGTGGGTAAGGGTTATCCAACATTTGGGTAAGAGTCCGCCCCCAAATTTGGGTGTGGATCTCCGTTGGTATGGATTGTCCAGTTCCCTTATGGATTACTTTTGCCCCTTTCTGTCAACATGTTTGATAAGCAATAACTATTATTATTTCCAAAACAGAACATAATGGTGAATTACTGTCACTGTAAAAGTGGTCATGATGATTTATCAGCATTGATCAGTTGTCTGTTGTCCATGTTATCATTTGTAGCTCTATGTTTAAAGGTGTTATTAAATCACCGTGAACAGGGTTGATTAACATTATGTATTTAACATTGCTAATCATATTACATTTCACATGTTTCATTGAGCAGTTATTGACAACGTTCTTATTATTGTGTTGACTGTTGCAGGGACGTTTGACAAAGTAGCGTGCTTCACCTGTGGCTGCAGCCTCAGCAAGTGGCAGACAGATGCTGATGCACTGGTCCAACATGCCAAGCACTCCCCCAGCTGTCTCTACCTGCGACAACTATCGCAGTATCATGACATCAAGCAGCTCGCCATGGAGACACAGGTATGTACATTGCTGAACACAGTCACCTCATCGTGCTGAGACGGCTTTAAAGTCTTCCAACCAGTGGTCAACCAATGTCATGTGTAATAGCCAGAAAGATGCATAGGATAACCTGAGAGGACAGAGGATACAGTGCATGTAGCAGTGTGTACAGAGACAAATTTCCCAACATGCATGATCCTGTATTACCATGATCATGATGATACATATATCATGTGTATATTATTATCTCATGATCGAATAGATTCCATGATCTGTTCCTTACTTAAGTATTGAGAATTAAAAGTAACACAGAAGACACTTTGTCCAAGCAGTTGGAGATATATGTTTCAGCCAGGCCGACATTTTTTATGTTAATCAAGGGAGGTAATTTTGGCAACATATTACACATGTTGAACAGGATTTTAACAATGTTATCATGGTTTTGGGGTTAAGTTAGTAATATAAACAATAATTTGTTATCAGACAAGACTTAAAAAGGTTATTAGTTTACAGGTCTTCTGATACTCAAATTGAAATGTTGAGAAGTTAGAAAGAGTGTTTCTTTTGGTGTTTTTTTTCTCCATTTGACCCCAATACAGGTTTTTTTCAAAGTACAATTTGTCACATGCTGGTATTGTTACTGAATAAAGGCCTAAATTGTTTTTGATCCCTGTCCACCATACCATGTGTATACAGAGAAATAATATTTCTGATACTGATTCTATCATGTGTATGATTAGCAGTAATCGGGGTAATTCAGATTCTATAATCAGCAATAAATGTTTGTGAAAATGTCATTGAAATACCACTTAACATTATCCAGTTAATCCGATTGAATGTGATGATAACTGTGAACTTTTTCTTTTCCAGGAGATGACAACCTGTGAAATGCCAACTGAAGGTGAGACATATGTTTTTCTTTTTATTACCAGTAATTATTCACATTGTTTTATTTCACCTACATCTTTATTTGTAGTTTGTCTTTGTGTGCATGTTGATGTGTATCACTGTAGGGTAGCATTGACAAACAAGTTTTACATCCTTTACCTCCATAACATAAACATGAAGACAATGATTTTATCAACATGTATCTAACCTGAAGCATGTAAACATGACATCTATAATTAGTCAGTTTAGTGTCCATGATGTGACTTATGTTTGATATTAAGGCTTATAAAAATAAAAGAATTGGTTCTCATGCAATGGCCATTGGAAATATCTTGCGGGTGGGCTGTGTTTTGTTTTTTTGCTGGTTCAAACTAGTATGTAATCAAATACCATCAACCTGGGAAAGGGCCTCCCTACATAAACAAGTATACAAACTCCTATTGCCGCCATGACCATAACATGAGATGCAAAGAAGCAGTAGATATGTAAAGGGAAGTAACTGCATGCTATATTGGATTGCATTGTTTCTAAGTATTAGGATTTTTTTATTGTTTGAAAATGGAAGTATAAACGAAACGTGCAGCAGACTTTGTGATGATGCCGGTGGTGAGAGTGAACAACTTCAGTTGTTCTGCCACTCCAAGAGTCTACAACGATTTAGACAGTTTTTTTCTTTCTTACAATTGTTACATTATTTTGATTTAACCTATGTTGTTATTTACTTTTTGTCTCAGTGTACATGACATTGTATTTGAACTAGGGTAGTATTGATGCACTGAAGTGGGGCTACAGATCCTTAACTGTAGAGACCGTGAATGAGACTTATGCTTTTAATGTTCAGTGTTCATGATGTTGATGTATGCCACCTCTTCACCATGTAACCCCTTGTTTCAGATGGCCCTGTTAGCAATGAGTCTCCAGTCAAACTGCCCTTCCCCTTCAAGCCGACAGTCGACCCGTCCATACTCACCAACTGCCAGGCAGCCCTAGCAAGTCAGTTTGGCTTTCAAGTAGATCTACAACTTATTCGTGAAGCTATCTGTGAATTTTATGCTAAATTCAGTGAGTTCTGCTGTTATGATATATATGTTATGTCCACTGTGTTAAACATGTTTAAGTAGGTCCATGAATAGGTGTAAATCTTACCATTAAGGGGAGATAACTAATCTATACCACAATGTTTTAAATGATTTCTAAGGCAAATAAATGAGACTAGTTGGTTCTACTGTGGTGATTGAGATTTGATGCAGTCATCATATATGTATGCAACCAGCCTTGGGATTCATGGCCCCCAGCAACCAGTGCTGTTTATAAGAGGCAGCTGAATGGATTGGGTGGTTCATTGTGTGACATGCATCGTTGCACTCAATATCAATGACAGTTTTGACTGGTCCTGATGATTTACAGGCCATTGTCATATAGCTGGAATATTGCTGAGTGTGGTGTTCAACAACAACAATAACAACAACAAAAAACATGTTGGAAAGCCGCCAGATAATGTAACCAGTCCAGAGATTAACGTTTTAATATTGATATCCTGTTATGGAGAAAAAGAAACATTCAGAAAACTTGCACTGTCCTATTAATGAGTTACAAGTGTTGAACTAAAATAAATAACATCTCAATATGTATTTATCGTAGCATACAAGCCTGCACTTTCTCTTCGATATAAAGATCAACATCTGCTAGTGGGGCCAAAGTCACATGCCAAAACATATGGCCATAGGTCATTTCAACATGATGGCCCATAGCTAAAGAACAATCTGCTACAAGAAAGCCAAGAAACAGAAAATATAACTAACTTTTAACCAACACTCAAAACCCGATCAGTTATGGTCTAAGCGCGTTTGAGCATATGTAAATTGGAAAATGTGTTATAAAACTTCTATACTTAATTTAATTAATGATAAAGTAGAAGTAACATGTAAACATAATTATGATACACAGGTGACAATGACCTGACAGTATCCCACTCTTGATGTGACTCAGATGGATGTTTGTATTTCTGTACACTAAGCCTGATGGTGTTGCCTTACAGACAGCTACCCCAACTATGACCTGCTGGTGGGATGGATGCTGACAACAAAGAAGGAGTTTCAGATGGTGAGGGAGATGAGGAGCAACATCCACAGTCAGGAGGTGACCCTGGAGCACAAGGACCAGCAGATACATGAACACAGGCAGCAGATACATGAACACAGGCAGCAGATACATCACAAGGACCAGCAGATACATCAACAGGGGCAGCAGCTGGGGGAGTTATCCAGTAAAGATGAAGAAATCCATCAGCTTAAACTGAAACTTAGTTTACAAACCCAGCAGAATTCTCAGAAGGACCAGCAGATCTCTCAGATCACTCAGCAAAACCAACAGATCACTCAGCAACTAAACCAGAGGAACAGGTTAATCAGCAACAAGAATGAAATACTCCAAGTACAGGGTGGAAGTAAGTGTATTTTTCTCTGGTAGTTCTTTGAAAATTGTTACCTCGGCTGGTCAGTAGAAACCAGATTCTATAATCCTCTCCTGTCTGAGTTTTTGTTCCTGGATTTTACCAACATTTAGCTTTTATGTATCAGAGGAAATAGGGTACTCAAATATATGGTTCACTTAACTAATTAATGCAGGTTCTTGTAAATTTAGATGATTTTGAAACTGGGGAAAATATGTTACTTACACTTATTACAGTTACTAATATATTGTTCATTACTTTTGTGTTGATAATAGATGTGCTCTAGATGTTGCTGCTGAATCTGTCCCAATACCCTTATTAAAACAATACCTGGTATGTTAGAAAGTGATGGGTTTGTTTTTCTGAATACTTGTAAACAGTGTGACAATGTAGATCCCGTCTCCTGACATGTCTGTACAATTGGTCTCCTTCATTTCCAGGAATCGACCAGCTGGAGGAGGATAACATCAGGATGCAGAACCTGGTCATGCAGCTCCGGCGGGAGCTGCAGGTGTCCACATCCCGGCGAGGATGAACCTCAGATCCAGGGACACCTTCATCTCTAGCTCCGGCGGGAGTTGCAGGTGTCCACATCCCGGCGAGGATGAACCTCAGATCCAGGGACACCATCATCTGTAGCTATGGCGGGTGTCCTTTTCCTGCAGTCTGAGAGTCAGATCCAGAGAACATTTTCACCTGTGTACAAACAACATCAGTCATGCGGCTACAGAAGGAGTTACAGGTGTCCATCTCCCAACAATGATGAGCGTCAAATCCAGAAGGATAACGGACAGGTTATCTGTAGTGTGAACTAATATCTTTTCGGACACGAATATTCAATGTTTATGTGAAAAACTTTTTTGAGGGTGTTTGCATCTTATTCATACAGCTCAGTTCACAGGTGTTGGGTAATCTTTGTCCTATGATCTATTGACCTAATTGATGTTGATATGCATATATATTACTGCAATCCTGGTGAAAAGATATTGTGGATTATCAGCTCATGTAGTCACCTAATTCATCATATTTTTCTTATGTTATGAAATGTATATCTTAGGTGAATATCCTTCTCTCAAACATCAATATTCAACCATAAGTATGTCCAGATGAAATGGCTCTTCTATTTAACTGAATGCCAGAGTAATTGTAAACTAACACACCGTCTCTTGCTCAGTGCGTAATGGCAGCTACACATATACCATCTGAGTCGTTTACCTATCTATATCTCTGTCATCAACCATTGTTAAGGCACACAGTTGGTAAAGAACATCAGACACAAAACCCATTGGAAACTCATCAAGTGGTTCACAGAGCAGGCTGCTGTGACATCATACAATGGTATACCAGTTGTGACCTCCTGCATGTTTTACATATATTTAAGACATATTATGTACCAGTATAAGCATGTGTTTTTGTTTGTGTGGAATATATTTGTTAGACTGGAATATAAACGGGAAAGATCAAACAGGAAATTCAGTTTGCTTTGGAAAGAATGTCTCAAGAAAGGAATAGTTTCCCATACCTTCATACTGTTGAGAACTTATTTAGGGTGTTTATGTTAGCAATGTTTCCCAACAATAGGAACTATGCTTGTTAAGAAGTTGTCAATTTAATGTTTCTTATTGTGACCAGATTGTGCTTCTAGTTGTAGTTTATTGATGGTAGCACCACTTCTGAACAAAACCCACATACTGCAGTGTGAACAGCTTACCTGGAATATAGTTGAAGTCTTGACAGCTGAAACAACCCATTAACACCCACTGTTGACTTAATTTGATACTATGAGTATGGCACCTTGAGGTCATGTTTTTTATTAAATGATTTAATAAGAGCACATATTATAGAGTGGAAGATATGAAATTAATTTTGAAAAACTAATGTTCACCATATTTAATTTGATTGCATCACTAGTCATTCCCTATGATGTGAATTACAGCTCCTGGATGTGAGAAGTGTCATATTTTCATGTATTGAATCGTGTATCATTATGACCTTACAATTGAGGTACATCACAGAAAGTTAACAAATACCACTAAAGCACAGTTTTATCCACTGCTGTTACCAAAACCAGACTAGTGTTCTTTCAAGTTGTAATGTTTAGCTAATATAACAAGCCAGTGACATTTTATGGGCGCTTCAGCGTCTTTAGAAATGTACCAACTGAAACAATCAATTGGTTGTTTATACATTCTGGTAAGTACTACTGAGCAGTTGTACAGACATACATTATATTCTTACTTTTGTTGTTGAATAGAAGATGAACTAATATGCAGAATAAATTGTACATTTGTAATATAGTTCCTAAGGGGAGATAACTAAGCTGTATTATAGACCTTTATTTACTATTTCAGGTCCATGCTTTGTATAGTTAATATAAACTTTCTGTATAATAATTTTTTTATATTTCTTTTGAATGCATTTTTGTTAAGCTTTGAAAGATTTTATGAGCAGTAGATATCAAACAATAATATATAGATCTACTTAGGCATATTCAATATGTATTTATGTTTTCCTGTATGTTGTGTCCAGATATAGGGTATTTCATGATTGAATAGGGCAGAAATTTAGGTTTTGGCGACCTACACAATTCATTGAAACTGAACCTTGTTGAGATATTATGTATATATTTAAATGTTATTGATAAAAAGGTCAGTGTGTACAATGTTGCGTTACTCAAAGCCTATTCATGTTAACAGCAAACTGTTATATTATTTTGAACCAATTTTATCATAGTGCTGACCAGAGACATCATTTCTTGTTAAAGAATCTAGATATCTGAATAGCCATCACCATCTTGTATAAATACATACCTCTTATGAACCCGTAATGATAAGTCTGTCACGTTTGTCACTAACAGGGTGAATGGGATTTTTAGCTGAAGATTTGTTAGACCCTTCCAGTGACACATGTACATATATTTTAATAGAACCAATGTACATATGTTCATCTATCTTACTGACATTATCATTACCTGTATGTACATATGTGTATACGTAGAGCATCAGACAGTGCTATCTATCTTCATGCTGATCAGTGTTCAATGTTGTCTCTTGTTAGTCGACCCTCCCACACACCAGGTCTGGGTACACACATCATCACTCTCTAGTTCAGGCAGATGCTGTATACTGCTGGGATGTTGCTGACTACATTGTAAAACTACAAAGAATTTTAGTATTTGAACCATTCTTCTGTAACAGATGATTCATCATTCACATATTAACACAAGATGAGGATTTGATAGTCAGTATCATTTTGGTTAATTACTTAAATCTAGAGTGAGTGAGTCAGTGAGTTGGGTTAATTACTGCTATGAACAGTATTTTAGTTATATCCGGTATTTTGAGGAAAAGCCCAACATCCCAAAGTGATGGATGTTTACCACTCTTATGAAACCTGCGCAACCTATGCTGCTGACAAAGCGAAGTTCATGATCAGGGCAGATCTGGATTCATGCCATGACATTTGCATCCTTGCATGTCTAGGAGATGCAACTCTGTACAACTTGCAACACCTTCCACAACTGGGACACACTTAAATCTGGAGATTTCATCCATTCAGCTGAAATATTTTAGTGATTGTCATCAATGTGAAACAGGTACACTTATATCTCCTTGTCACCTATAGTATACAGCCTGGTGGTGTTGTGGGGGGCCTCTACTGTCTGTCTTCCTTCCATTCTTTACATTAGGACACACTGGAGTGCTGTTGTGTTCCGACTGGTTCATGTGGCCTGTTCCCTTTCATCAAACACTACCACATGTGTTCTGTGATGGTTCAGTATCTCACAACTAAGGCAGCAATAATCACCCATTGTTAGTCCCTATTGATCCATATTGTCAAGGTTAACATGAATGTTCATCGAGGGTACAATGTATTGATCATTTCGTTTCATGGAAAAAGGCAGCAGTACAAATATTATTTATCGAGTTAAAGTATGGAATATTAGAGTCCTCGGGTTTATCATATGAGTAATACCTACTAGAACATTGCTATCTTTTCACTCTGTCTCCCTCTTCTTTCAAGAGGTCAGCGTATTTCTGGGGCTCCTCTTAGACATCCTGTTTACACACAAGAAATTCAAGTTCCATCTTAATGGTAACCTATTACCTTTTACACTGAACGTTTTGATAATGTTGAGAGTATTTGTATTGAATTTTAAATGGGGATTTTACATTTTAATGAAACCATTTTGTATACTTGATGTTATATTTTTGTGTGACATTTTTGTTAATATATTTAACACATTTTAACAAGATTTAAGGTTTTTAAAACAAATCATCTGAAATTATTTTGAACAACATCTTGTCATGTTTTTAGAACAATTCACCTTGAATATTGTGAATTCTTTTTCTTCCATTCTATGAACTCTCTTTCTGTTTCTCTCTCATCTACATCTGTAGTTTGTATATATCTTATGAAATAAACAATTTAATAAATATTTTTGTCACCGATTTATTTCTCTTGACGACTGGCTCAGCTCCTCATTCAGTGTCGTCCATTAACTCCACTCCCCTCTCATTATTGAAGTTCAACAACGACCAACATGGAAATACTTAGAGTTATTCAGTTATTCCAGCCAGGCTTACCTCACAGAAAGGCTCGAACACAAATCCTGTGAATTAATGTAACGGTGGCTAGATAATGTAACCAAAGAGTCACGAATCTCTACATTGATATAATGTAAACCATTACCTGCGCTTGGATTATCAAACTTCAAACATGTCAGCATCACTCTGCCATCACGTGGTCGAATGTTACAAACATACCCAATTCAAAAGAAAGATCGTGGCGACAAAATACCTACTAAAATATACAGCAGACACATTCATACAGAATTCACATGCCACTCCTATTAGAGAAAGTAGAACTGCTTCTAATTGTTTCTCGAAGTAAATATATTGTTCGAACATCCCACCATGTCAAGGTCTTGATTTAGTAATAGTTAGACAGCGCGCAACATCACATTTGTCAATACTATAGCATGCCGCCCCCTCCTAAACTGCACTGCTGCGAAGAATCCACAGGATTTTAATAATGAAAAGCTGTCGCCGTATCAGCGTCCTTCACAAGATTGATTCATGCTGTTCGAAATGAAAATTCATACAAGGTTTAAAGTTCAAAAGATTCAAATGACTTTTTAAGAGACCTTGGATATCACTAGTATTTAATACTTCACCAATGTGTTGAGGTCAGCATTTGCTGATGAACGATTTCAAGACGTAAATTTATGTACATGTAAATATTGTCTTTTGGATTTAGGAGAATACGGTAATTTTCAAGTCTTTGAAAGGCATTTAGAAGTTATACACACAAGGAAGAGAATTTATGGATGTCATCTTTTTTATTATGAGGAACACAGCGTTTTGGAATATATACTTACTCCTTCATTAGGTGAATAAATGCTATAAGCCAACAGATAATTTGAGCTGATAGGTAATTAGCAAAGGACAAATGGAAGCCAACACTTAACAGTACTGATTGGTAATAGTGAGTGAGTGAGTTGGATTTAACGCCGCTTTTAACATTATTCCAGTTATTTCACGGCGTGTCAGCTTAACGTGGGAGGAAAGCCCGAAGTGATGCAGGTTTAAGATGTTTACCACTTCGGAGAAACCAACGAGCGCGGGTATGGTGCTGACAAACCTAGAAACATAATCGGGGCGAACCGGGATTCGAACCCGCAATCATAGGTTTCAAGGGACGCAACTCTGCACAGCGAATCGCGGCGCCTTAGACGACTGGGGCACCCGTGAGGTGACCCCGATTGGTAATAGGACATTCACAATAGGCAAGCGGGAGGCCGGGGGTAATTAGCACTGATAGATAATAGAATGGAAATGACAATGGAATCCAGCTGGATAATTAGCAACGACAATGATCAAAGCAATAAATCCCAAGCACTAGGCAGATAGGTTCCTGAGAACGGTTCATGGCTTCCTGCGTCACAAATTGTTCCAAATTAATGTTCAGTTAGGAATGACCATTTGGCATCTGAAACAGTGACACTATAAATATCCTGTCTCTAAAATGGTCCCAGGGTCTCCATGAATATTAAATTGTTGGTCACCTACCAATGAATGTATTAGACCACAGTTACGTTTACTTCGACGATTGTTGTAATGTGTACTGATAATTATGTAAAGGTTAGAGCTCCATGATCCCATGGTCCGGTGCCTCACTATTGAAGTGATTAAAGCCCCAGCGCGGTGAAACTCGGCATCTAACATTCTTTATATTCGTATTTTACAAAGCCATTCAAGAATTCCATGTTTAGTTCTGAGGACACCGAGTTTCCTGCCCCAACGTCATACACAACAATCCGAACTTACACTTCGTTGATGGCGTGTCAGATATGACGTCCCTGGCAACATTGCAAATTGTATTGAGCCAACCTGAGTACTTTTCTCAGTCAGATAAATACCGTAAAACGTGAAATTAATGCGTCTCCAAAAGAATGCGACCGCTGGTCCCTAGCCAAAAATGCGACTCAATATGAATGCGACACCCCCTCCTCTCAAGTATATCAATATGGCTGAAATATTGCCGATGTGACTTTAAATATTAACTCACTCACTCACTCAAGTATATCTTGCCCATATGGATGTGCTATAATGAGAAAAGATACATCCTTAATTAAGCAAAACATATTTTTATCTATCTGCTTGGGTTTTTCTTTCAACGAAACGTCACCAAATTCACACTGCGTTAAATTTATACGTACACGTGCGTAATAATGCATTGTATAAAACACAAATATTCCAAATCATAAACGGATTATTTTTAATGATAAATGTTGCTTCCATCGAAGTTCTTTCGTGTCGACTTTGCAGAAGTCTACATTCGTTAAACTTAAAATCTCACAAGCGAAACACCTTCTTCGCCTTAAACCTTCAGGTCAGACACACATTTACATATTGTCCTGGCACGTACAAACTTAAGGGTAAGTGAGTTGGCTAGGTTAACGAGTGACGCTGCTTAACAGTATTTCACTTATATCACAGCATGCCAGCTAAATGGGGCCATGGTGGAAACGTCAGAAGTAACGCAGATCGCAGACGATTACTATTGTGGTTAATTTCAGTTACCTTGATGACTCAATTACAATCACAACAAGCGGATCCTTGTACGACTAAGGGATGCAACTCTGCACAACGAACCACTCCTTGGCCCACTGGATCACCCATGTCCCCTAAACATTTATTCACTAACAGAAGTTAATCAAACTACTTTTCACATCCGCAGACAAATGGTGAAAACCATTGGTGTACATGCCAATCAGATCCCACTTTTTAAACACATACTTTAAATGAGAAGTATAGGATAGCACGACGCCAACACTGTTTAATCTAGAAACTGAGATCTTTCCGTCTCCAGGGCAGTAGTGCTTAAGGGTTCTAAAGTCAGTGGCCTTTACGTCAGTGATGGATCTAAGTATCCCCGTCACGTACACGTCATCCATAGCAACAAAACGCGCCACAGAGGAGGCATTGTAAAGCTTTGATAAAACATCCACGGACACAATGTAAGCAAATCCTTGACAGAAATCAGGCCACATATCAAAGGGATACATTGTTCTGGGAACATAATATTTTTTACTTGATTTCCTATTTGGCACAAACCCTTTAAATATGGTGCATATCAACTGATCAGTCGTTTCCTTCAGATGAGTGAGATAGTTGACAACTACATATGGGTTCATAAACATATCATCATCCATCTTCAATACAAAGGCTGCTTGCGGACAATGATTCAGCATCCAGTGATAACCCATTATGTGTTTGATGCTCAGATTTCGATAAACATCAATGAAATTACCTTGAATTATGTCTTTAAATTCGTTAGCTTCTCTGGTAATATTCTTTTGGAGTGCTGCATTATCGGAAACTCCGACAGAGAATACAAGAACGACAGTCTTATTCCCCGCTTTACGAATGCTTCCAAAGGTTTCTCGGATTCGACGTCGAAACTTGTAATGACCCAAGGCCGAATGAACAATGGTTAAGAGATATACGTGACCTCTCAGACAGAGGTCAGAGTTCAAGGTGAACTGATACTGATGCAGATTGATAAGAGGATGCCTCTCTTCCTCTTCCTTCAATATGGAGAAGTTGAAAAGTCCCGGTATTTGTTCAGTGGTAGGGAGTTTGAATGGAAGACCTTCCACAAAGGTACTGTGAGACCATTGAGCCCTTAAGTGAGCCCCACTTTGTCTGGTATGACGATCAGATACGTCTAATCTTCTATGGCTGGAGGGTGTCTCAGCAACAACTTCAAGTCTCCTCTTCATTCCCATAAATCGAAGATCTGATTTATCCAGATTGGTGTGTAAAAGATGGACCTCTTGTTGTTTGTTTGATTTAATGACACATTTGTCATTTACATTCGCATAGGCATGCATCCCAGCTGTGCCATTAGCTTGAGTTAGGGTCTGGATTGTGATTAAACTTTTATTTTTGAATGATTTCCAATGTTTGTAATCTTGGTGCCATTTGGCTCCCATGTTGTGGAGGACATCGCCAACGTGTTTTATCTGCTTGGACGAAATGCGTTGGTATTGCACAATAATCAGTGATCCTAATACACACAAGCCCACAATATTCAGCAGAAGGAACCTTTTCGTTATTCTTCTAATGAATCCACCCATGTTTACTGAAATACAGAAAGGAGAATATATTGACACATTGTAATAACTCAATAACCTCCAGGACATTGTAGATCGATATATAGGACGTCGCTTGTTGTATGCACGTGGTGGCACGCGGGCCTGTGCACAGAGCACAGTTTACAAAGTAACGTCGTGCGCGGAGAGTCCTTTGATGGGTGACCGCGTTTCGGCAGCTTGACTCCTGAGAGTTTCTAGGTCCTGTCCCATACTGAAGCACATGTAACACATGTGGCGTCTCATTGGGCAAGAAACATTGTTCGAAATGTGCCTCTGTTCACCCAGCAGTGAATGGTACCTGGTAGGATGAAATGGCAATGTGGTTGTTAGCCTTCAAGAGGGCAGCTTGGGTTGTATACTCCCCAGGAAGCTGAGAATGATTCTTGAGTGCACACTGATCCAGTGACTGGGGTAATAACAGTGCTTTGAGCATGCACCTAAGTGGTGTGGAAATATGTGCAATATACATAGCCTATTATTATGTTTGTGATTGCTGATATCACTACGATTTCTTACGATAATGGATATTGTTTTGGCGTTTTTATTTCGATTGTAAGAGAATTAATTTGGCAGAAGTGTTACCGAAAAGCCGAGAAGGCTGCTCAATCTCAGGGGGCAGAATGAAAACGTGTATAGACAAATCAGATAGTTTTTTAATGTTTACAGCATGTTAAAATATTGCTTTAAACAATTGGATATCAACATTGTTAATTATGACCGACACAGCGAATTACTTTAAATCTATTTCAGGTTTCAGGTTATACACAAGTGAACACCTGTAGCTTTGAGATACGTAAGATATGGATATTCAAGTGATGGACACAATTCACAGTTCTGTGTTTTATGGGGTGAGGTCAAATGGGGTTTAACGTCGCGTCCAAGATTATTGCACTTGTATAGCGACGTGCATGTACGTGTGTATGTGTTTGTCTGCGTGTAGTCTGGACTGATGCCAACTTTATAGTGCTAGCCCACTGAGATACCATGCCGCAGTTTAACATGAATACACCACTCAGACATGGTATACTGACTCCGAGCCGACCAGTCCTTGTTTTAGCCCCTTAATGTCGAGCGCCAGATAGGGTAACAACAAGTACCATCTTTTAACGTCTTTTGGAATGACGCGGTCGGGGATCCAACCCCGGACCTTCCGCTCTCCGGGCGGACGCTCTACCACTAGACTACGGAGGCGGTCCTATGTGTTACCAATAGCACGTTAACTACTGTTCAGATGTCAGTGCGGGTTGTGTGTCATTTATGACAGATGTTCCATAACTGAACACAGTATGATGTTCCAGTAGATTGGCTCGGACATCTGCTGTGTATTGTACATTTTACAATGTTGAATACAATAGGTTTTATGTAGATGATTAAAAGAATCTCTTCCAAAAGCTGAGTCGATTTTAGTATTCCGACAACATCATGAGCATGCGTTTATGAATCAATATCAAATAGTGATGATAACAAGTGCTCGCGAAAAACTGAGCATATCCTGTCCCACCGGTGGCAGCTATCCCAAACACATGCAAACCTAAGTCAATTGTTCACCTGATAAAACGCGGGAGCATATTATGGTAAAAGTCAAAAGCATCAGGCATCTGGCATCTGGCAAGTAGCAAAAGAAGTTGGCGTAAAAACAATGGACTGTAAGGTATTTGCATGTACGACAAACTAACTGAAAAATGAACATTTTAGCTTTTTTGAAATATTAACATACCTAATTTCAATGCTCTAAATGCTTCATCAAGTGGTCCTCACTTATTATCATGAGACGTGAGAGTATATTTACGAGAACTTATACGTGACTGCTTTGTGTATGTGTTCTTACACATACTGTCAAGTCGGTATTCGTATGAAAGCCACTGGTCCATATACATAGAATATTCATATACATATACTATTACAAGGGTACATGAATTTAAGTTACATCATATTATTCCAGTATTTGCAAAACTTCGTCTTATTTCATAACTTTGACATTAATATTACATAGATTTGTCAGGAACATTGCGTTGTTCGAAGACAAAAGTGGTCAAAATTTATACTAATTCCGATTATAACAATACAGTTTAGGAAGGTAGAGGTGCCGTATGTTTTCGTTGGAATTACACATTAAGGTAAAATGATATGTAATACAATGATTTTCTATCACTTGACATCTCAAGGAACACGTCAACTACCTTAATAATATATGTACATACATGCTTCCATGTCAATGATGCTTCGAGGACATAGAAAACAGAGAAGTAGTCAGTATTTGTGTATATGGTAAACTGCCAGTCAAAACAAAGTACAGAAATGAAAATCCGATTTGGCCAACAAATTACAAGCTTAATCAAAACATAACTTACAAGGCTTACGTGTTGTGAGATACTCGTTATTCGTATAATATCACCCATGATAGTCGTATCAAATACATTCCCCTCTAATAACCATTTCTTTTTGTTTCATTTTAGCCACCATCAAACATGGCTGTATACTTCCGGCAGTTTAGTTACCCATACAACGTGATGCCAACAAGAGTTTAACAACGAAAATAAAACAATCTTACCTTAAACCAGAGTGAAGTCTTTATTTGCAGATTTAACGACCTACTACCCGACTCCATATAACCAGATACACAGACCATCTGTGGGATGTAAACTGTATGTACTGTTGAGGTTTAATAATGCAACCAGGTGTTGTGTATTGATTGCATATCTATTAGATTAGTTGCGGGGCGCCCTGACCATTCATACTGCTAGTACTTATACTACAATATACGATAGCTACGCGATATATCGCAAAGAACAATGAAGAACGAAGAGTGGTATATTTCACGATAAAACATCGTTCTAGCATGACGTCATTTCTGGAGATTCGAACATGCGCTCGCAACTTGACGTCGTCGTAAATTGGACGACGTTATTTTCGAGAGGGAGATGTCTAGTGATTTATTCCCCATAGGTGCAACTGGGAAACGTAGATAAAAGCAATGGCCGAACGATCGCGTCCAAAAGCGGGAGAGATATGACATGGCCTGTGACAGTGGAGGTGTCTGCTCGTCAATCGTCGACGCACGGTGTCCGCACTATTGTGTCGCTGTTGTGTCCCCATGGTCTGTCGAACAGTTTCCGCAGCAGTAACAAAGCGATCTTGAAGATGTTGAGGCACAATCTGACGATCCTGACGTCGGGTGGTTACCCTTGGTCTTCCACTACGTGGTCGGTCATCTGTAGTGTTGGTGGTCTGGTACCGTTGCTGGAGCCTGTATATGGTCCTTACGTGGACTTGAAATGCATTGGCTACTTGCCGGGCGGTTTGTCCAGCTTGCAATCGTCCAAGGGCTTGGTGTCGCTGATTTCTTGTCAATCTTGGCGGAACTGCGCGAGCACCTTGATTAAAAACATGAAAAGATTTGGAAAATATTTGTTGACAAGGAGTTGGCGGTGTACATGCTTTGCAAATCCTGCAATCGACCGAAATCTACACGACAGTTTACTGACCGGATTTCGATTTCGTTTCGTTTGATTGGACTATGCATAGACTATGCATACAACTATTATACTCATATAAAATATATGTAGGTCATATTTCTCCTGGTCCCTCTTTTTGAGAATAAATTTTTTTATTTTTTTTTCATAATACTATTGTTTCCTGAAAAATATATTTTTGAAACCACATTAGCTTACCTGTTGTGGCAAGGTCAGTATCAAAATCCATGACAAATAAAACCTACGTATACAAGCATTTTTTTTACCAGATGTTGTTATCGACCATTACTCACGTCGAAAACAACCATCCTTGCAAAACTATCAACCGTCGGTGCTGGAAAATAGTCACTTTCGATTTTCCAACGAAACAGATTCAATTGGGCGCCTTTGACTCAAATGAATGCACAAAGCTGTGCCGAAACCCTGGGCTCTTAGATTTCTCGATTGCAAGCTGGGACCTTTTCAATATACTATGTGTAAAATGTATGTACATGTACGTGTTGATATCTGGAACAGTTTCTGAACACGGAGACATGGGGGATTCCAATTATGCACACGAATTTGTTTCACTTTTTAAAGTCTTCCTGTGTATGTTTGAAGGGAACATGCACTTTTATTATAAAAATAATTACCCTTGACGAGTTTAATATGCAAAAACAAGGCCCGAGGACCCCTGAGGTCAGACCGCCCAAGGGGCCGGGTCCGAGGGTCCTTGTTTTCGTATATTTAGCTCGTCAAAAGTAATCATTTGTTTTGTTATACCGAAATTCACTTCAAGTTCGGGGTCTACGTTGAAAAGTATTGTTGTTTCGTCACTTGGTACGGATTGATAAATGGAATTTCAAGATTCTTAGTAGATGTATAACAACAATTATTATAAACCATCAATATATACACACACTCTAGGAAAGGTACCACATGTCATAAAATTATTTCCATGTGGAAATAAAATATTAATATAATAATCTATAAACCATAAAAAAAGAAGCAAAAATATATCTGGTTCGACAAGATTTTATACAATTCCTTAATTATACAGGACACAACCTTTTCCGTAATCATAAGAAATCTCGAAGAAATCTTTAAATGCAGTCCATTGTTCATTTCCGACTGTATCAAAAGGATGTGTCTGTGCTATCAAATATGTTTTATCAGTCCGAATTTAGATATTTCTAATGTAAAACTATTCGGTTTTTTTCTTAAGTTTAAAAAGAGTGGACAAATGAATATGTAGTCCTCGAAGTTGTGACTTTTTTACAGGGCTGAGAAAACACAATGACGTAGGGCTAGGGCACATGTGTTATTCAAGCAACACGCACACCCTAAAACACATTGACCTAGGGCTAGGGCACATGTGCTTTTCAAGCAACACGCACGCCCTAAAACACAATGACCTAGGGCTAGGGCACATGTGTAATTCAAGCAACACGCACACCCTAAAACACAAAGACCTAGGGCTAGGGCACATGTGTAATTCAAGCAACACGCACGCCCTAAAACACAATGACCTAGGGCTAGGGCACATGTGTAATTCAAGCAACACGCACGCCCTAAAACACAATGACCTAGGGCTAGGGCACATGTGTTATTCAAGCAACACGCACACCCTAAAACACCAACCACATACGCCCCAAATACATTTATAAATTTATACACAGATATACAAGGACATACAATCATATGGGCCTCCGAGGGTGGAGCGCTCTGAGCCTTGGGATAGTTATCTGAGCCAAAGCTCAAAACACTCTCGAGTGAAGTCAGCCTTGGCCCAACTCACTCTTGAGTGATCTCATCCAAGGCCCAAGTCACTCTAGAGTGATCTCATCCAAGGCCCACGTCACCCTAGAGTGATCTCATCCAAGGCCCACGTCACTCTAGAGTGATCTCATCCAAGGCCCAAGTCACTCTAGAGTGATCTCATCCAAGGCCCAAGTCACTCTATAGTGATCTCATCCAAGGCCCAAGTCACTCTATAGTGATCTCATCCAAAACCCAAGTCACTCTAGAGTGATCTCATCCAAGGCCCAAGTCACTCTAGAGTGATCTCATCCAATGCCCAAGTCACTCTATAGTGATCCCATCCAAGGCCCAAGTCACTCTAGAGTGATCTCATCCAAGGCCCAAGTCACTCTAGAGTGATCTCATCCAAGGCCCAAGTAACTCTAGAGTGATCTCATCCAAGGCCCAAGTCGGGGACTAGGTTTGGCCTCCTACACCGGCTCCAGGATCCGTTGGAATTGCAATTTTGCCATTATTGGTTAATACTGTTGAAAGCGGCGTTACACATTATTTCACACATTTATTAATGTTAAGAAAACAATTAAGGAAGAGCATGTATGGATGACAACTTCTTTATTATGAGGAACACAACGTTTCGGAGTATATGCCTACTCCTTCATCGGTGAATGGATGCTATGAGGCAGAGAGCATATATATGTACATGTAAAAACAACGAAAATAAAAAAAGTTAACAAAAGTTGGAAACTTAACAAAGGAAGTCAAAAGATAATTGGTGCTGAAAGGTGATTAGCAATAGACACTGAAAGCCAACACTTTACAGTAATTAGCGCTGATTGTTATGGACAACTGGAAGGCAGGACTAAATTATCACTAACTGGGCAAATGGGAGGCCGGTGTAGTAGGCTCAAACGACTCCCCCTAAATTGGACTCTAGAGTCATATGCGGACTAGTCTCAAATGACTCCCCTAGCTAGGCTCAAAACTCCCCTACTGGGCCTAAATGACCCCCCTTGACTCTTCCTCATTTTCTATTCTGAAATGTCAGGTTAAGAACAATTCCCATTATTGTGTGTCAGATGTTTGAGTACAAGTTATTTTATTACAGATTTATATTTAACTTTACTTGGAAAAAAATCCAGGTGCTGCTCTAAAAATCAATATACTTTTCTTAACATATAATTTATTTTCAGAATGCTCCCTGTGTCGTACATCCAATAGGCTCAAACTGCTCCGCCTATTCTATATCCAATTCTGTGATATCAGACTCAAACTACTCAGCCTATTCTGTATCCAATTCTTGAGTATCAGGCTCAAACTGCTCCGCCCATTCTGTATCCAATTCTTTGATATGAGACTCAAACTACTCCGCCTATTCTGTATCCAATTCTTTGATATCAGACTCAAACTACTCCGCCTATTCTGTATCCAATTCTTGAGTATCAGACTCAAACTACTCCACCTATTCTATATCCAATTCTTGAGTATCAGACTCAAACTACTCCGCCTATTCTATATCCGATTCTTGAGTATCAGGCTCAAACTACTCCGCCTATTCTATATCCAATTCTTGAGTATCAGGCTCAAACTACTCCGCCCATTCTGTATCCAATTCTTGAGTATCAGGCTCAAACTACTCCGCCTATTCTATATCCAATTCTTGAGTATCAGGCTCAAACTACTCCGCCTGTTCTGTATCCAATTCTTGAGTATCAGACTCAAACTACTCCACCCATTCTATATCCAATTCTTGAGTATCAGACTCAAACTACTCCGCCTATTCTGTATCCAATTCTTAAGTATCAGGCTCAAACTACTCCACCCATTCTATATCCAATTCTTTGATATCAGACTCAAACTACTCCGCCTATTCTATATCCGATTCTAGAGTATCAGGCTGAAACTACTCCCCATTTTCTAAATCCGATTTTCATATGTATTAAACAATATAGATTTCCAATAATTTTGTGAATGATCGTGCATGCATATCAACGTTTTACATGAAGAAATAAGATTTTCAAACAAGTCATAGTGCCAATATCATTATCTTTCTAAATAATATTACACACATTACAATCAAACATCAGGTGCAGTATTATAAGAAATACCAAGTTCATAAATCAAACATAAAAATGAATGCAAATACAAAGTTAAACAAATATTGCAGTAAAGCCTCAATATCACATCATATCCAGCTATTATGTAAGAAAATAAAGTTGCTGATGTGTAACAGTATTTAAAAAGTCTAAACGAAATGGCAATATTGTCCTTCAAATTTATCACATAAAATCATATTATGCACAAAAACTGGTAATTTCACAATATGTAAAAAAATGGATGCAATCAGCGAAAATACTGTGCTGTATCATCGAAAATATATTATTTGTGTACGACATTCACAGACTGCTCCACAAAAAAACATTTGTATTCTTCAAAACAAATTGGGGGGGGGGGGGGGGGGGGGGATTTGAGCCTTGGGAGTTATCTGACCTACGGGGCGGGGGAGTCGTTTGGGCCTAAGGGGATTCATCTGAGCTTGGGCTCAAATGACTCTTGAGTTAACTGAGTCTGGGGATTTATTTTAACCTGCAACATCGGGGGTGATTAGCACGGATAGGTAAAAGAATAGGAACAGCAAATGGAAGCCGGCTAGATGATAGGCACCGACAAAGATCAAAGCAATAAGTCCCAAACACCCGGCAGATAGGTTCCCTGGTCACGGTTCATGGCTGGCTGTCTTGTGTATAACTAAGAACTGACTTCAATAATAATAAATAAGACAACTATAACAAGACAAAAAGTGAGGAAGACTCACTAATACCCCCGACTTGGCCTCCAATATATATCTAAGTTCAAAAGATGAAAAAGCAATATTTTCTAAGAAAACCGAAATCAAACTTTGCACTGCACCTCTCCTATTGGTACAGAAACTGTACCCCCAATTGGAAAGAATCCAGTTTTTTAAGTTATAAGTTGCACAATTGTGGAAGTAAAAAAATAATTAAAGTAAAAAATGAAAACAGCTGTATTTAAAAAAAAATCCTAATATTGAATTCAAACTTTACACTCACGTCTTCTATTAGTATGGAAACTATTCCCTCTCTTTGAAATGAATCCATGCAGTAGTTTTTAAGTTAAAGGTCACACAGATGTCTAAGTAAAAGAAGTAATTTCAGTCAAAAACTGCAACAAAACTGTATTTGTCAGAAAATCTAAATATTGAAATAAAACTGCGCACTGCAGTTCTCCTGTAGGTATAAAAAGTGTTCATCAAGAAAATGCGTTTGGACGCCTTACACGAGTGAGAGTATCATTAGAGTATGTTAAGTATATTCTGATCGTCCTGAACATTTAGAGACTGTTAGTGACACTGTGGTTGATAAAGTCGCTAACCAGGTAGAGACTGATCCTGTGGGCTTGTAGTTCTCATGCTAGCGTTTCCAACCCAGCTGACAGTGTGGTTATGTTGGATGATATCCTCCTATGTGCTACTGGTGGTGAGGTGAGGTGAAATGGGCTTTAACGACTCTTGCACTTATATAGCGACGTGCTTGCACGTGTTTGTGTGGTTGCTGGTACTAGTCCGGACTGATGCCGATTTATAGTTCTAGCCCACTGAGATACCATGCCGCAGTTTAACATGAATACCCCACTCAGACACAGTAGACTGACTCCGAGCCGACCAGTCCTTGTTTCAGCATCTTCATGCAGAGCGCCAGACAGGGTAACAACAAGTACCATCTTTAAACGTCTTTTGGTATGACGCGGCCGGGGTTCGAACCTCGGATCTTCCGCACTACCGGGTCGTAAAGTTTGTAAATATATCTTAAATGTATAAGTAAATGCTACAGATTGCATCAGCTGATGGGACTTATAGACATTCTACTGAATGTACATATTATCTTATTTAACATGTACTTGTGTTGGAAATGAATTAATGTCTTGAATGCGTGTATCATAGGGTGTGATCTGAGAGGGAGTACTGGTGTAAGGGAGATAACTCTCATTCCAGAAGTACTTGTGTTGTTATGGGTTGTAAATGTAGACTGTTATAGAATGCGTGTGTGGAGATGATCGATTGTCAGTTATATAACTGATGCTAGCGTGTTCTGTTGTCTGTCGCCGAGTTACTCTTGGCCATATGGATCGCACAGGAACCATCGTGTGACATTGGATTTTACTGCAATAACAAAATACCAGGGACTGATGTAGTTTTGGCAGTGTTTGTTTGCGGTAGATATAACGTCCTGTATTTCACATATAGTAGATGGAAAACAGATCCAGAATGATCTTTTCAATTTATATGGTTGATCGTCAAATTCAATATAATTATTTCAATATTGTGGTCCGTAGGCATCCCTGGATAAGTGACATTAAATGAGGCTTAACGTTGCGTCCAAGATTATTGCACTTATATAGCGACGTACGTGCTTGCACGTGATTGTATGGCTGCTTGTACTAGTCCGGACTGATGCCGATTTATAGTTCTAGCCTACTGAGATACCATGCCGCAGTTTAACATGAATACCCCACACAGACACAGTATACTGCGAATTGCGGCACCTTAGACGACTGGGCCACAGGTGACCACACCCACCACTCACCACCCACCACTCACACCCTTTTTTCATAAAAGCAGCGTTAAACCCAATATATGATCACTAACTGTAGGCTTTCATATGGATTCGACCTGTGAAGATCCAGGCTAGAAGTCTCGCTGACTCGCTGACTCGTTGATGCATGTCATGGTATCCCAATTGCGTAGATCGATGCTCGTGATGTCAATCACTGGATTATCTAGTCTAGACTCGATTATTTACAGACCGCTTTCACACAGCTGGAATATTGCTCAGTGTGGCGTTAAACAACAGACAAACAAACAAACAATGGATATGGATTCCTTACGTTTACATACAAAGGGCGCAATGGTTTCTTTTATTTAATCATAGGAGCTGAGTCAGGCAACAAACACAAACTTTCTAATGCAAATTGTTTGAGTGGCAGGTGCTACCGGTAGAGCAGGACATGCTTACCTTTTTCGCGAACACCTGGTCTCGTCACGGTGTCCTCCCATTAGTTAGACGTCCCAATAGTTAGACAGCTTATAACAACACTTTAAACGGTTGAGTGCACACTAACCCTTATGCTTGTTACCTCAGACTTTAAAATGGAATAGTCGAGATAAGATCTGACAAACAAAGCAAAGCAGCTTTAAATAGATACTTTAATATTATACTTAACATTAAATGACACTTTACATTTGATAAATTATATACAGTTTGGTGAAATGATGGCATCGCTGGGATGCTGGCTTCATCTACTTGAGTGACTTGCTCCTCTAGAACAGAACAGAACTTTATTACGCTCAGGCCGAGATCCTCGGCATAGGAGGTACAAAATGACAGCAAAATACACATTATAATTGCGGATTGTGGTTAGGCGGAAGATTTTACAATTTGCATTACATATTTACAGAATTTACTAAGGTTTTTTAATACAGATATCTCTTTACAAGTGAAAAGTCTTTGCCATTTAATCATATTAGGTCTTTTAGAATATGTAGGTGGGATATACAAAATTCTTTCTTTAGTAAAATATGGACATTTAAAAATATAGTGAAATTCATCTCCAATATCATCAATAAAACACAGTTTACATTTTCTTTCACAAATAGGTATCCCATTCCATCTTCCTTTTTCAATTGGTAAGTGGTGGCATGAAGTACGAAATAAAAGTAGAGGGATAGCTTTATTTAGGGGTAGGGACGTCAGATAATTTTCTAATTCAAATTGTGGTTTCAAGAGAGAATAGACTACACTTTCCTCGTACAATGCCTGCATCTGTGTGGTTTCTTCTCGCGCTCTTTTACGAAGATTGCTTACAAAGTTCACTCTGGTTTCATCTTCAGGCGGATAGTTATGTTCCGACTGATTGCAAAGAAAGTCACCAACAGTCGTACATTTTCCATTGCACGTCTTGACGACACATCTCGAATGTGAGCAGGTTTGCCTCTCGCGGTTTCTGTTGTAAATATATCCATCTAATATCAACTGCTCACTTCCACGCCGAGAGGTGATGTACTCTACTTTCCTTAAACCATCCATATCGATACTGATAATGATACGTACCCCAAGATCATTTTTATTTGTTTGATGAGTACGTAATCTAAACTCCTTCAACTGATCATACAGTAAGACAATTAAGCTACTCCATAGTTTACACAGTTAATCTCATGCCTATTGAACCTGTACTGAGAGTAAGGTAATTTAGGTTAATTAAACGAAATTATAACATTTATACTCCCTAAACTGTGAGTCCCCTATCCCTACTCAGTACTTTAATCTAATTAGGACTGATCCATTACACCTGTAGGTATATTCCCTCTTTGCCTAAATAGAAATGTCTAACAATTGGGACGTCTAACTAATGGGACGTCTAACTAATGGGATATAACCCTCGTCACTATATTCAGTTCTGCATCCATATTATATTTTACAGCTATTTTGCCTTTTACGTCCTGTGGAATCTGGTTTGTAGGATAATCGAGACTGGTTATTCTCTGGCGTTGACTTGTTATGTAATCAGTAGTTCTGAAATATATTATCTATCAAAACCAAATTTACAAGTCTATGAAAAACATTTCGATGATAGATAAACATGATCGTCGAGTCTATATCTCTTCTAGGTCAACTATCGTTGACAATAGGAACGCGCCAACATCTCCCAAGGGGATATCCCCTATGTATCAGGGAATAGATTTATTGTGAGAATAATATTAATGCCGAATGCGAATTAACAGCGACACTGAAACCCAGTGAATTGTATAAGATTCAAGACATGCATTCATCAGTATAGTTATGAAATAAAAATACTTTTGTCCTCCATAGACAAATGATAAGTACCATTAGTATGCATTGTCATCGCTGTCAAATTCTTAAACACAATCTTCAGACAGGAATCAAATGTGTACATCACTCCAGCACTGAGGAATTTGGACACCTGGACCCCTCTCGTACAATCGTATTTGAGAGTCCCGTAATCTGTGGCGTTCAGGCCTATATTGGATCTTACAATCCCTGTGACATACACATCATCCATGGGTACAAAGCGAGTCACTGAGGAGCCATGGTAAAGCTTGAACAAGACGTCTTTGGATACAATATAACCAAGTCCTCGACAAAAATCGGGCCATATTCTAAACGGATACTGGGCTTTTGAGACGTACCATTTCACTGAAGGATCCCTCCATGGGACATACCTGTGACCAATGGCGCATAGAATCTGGTTAGTCTGGTCCTTCAGATGAGTGAGATACTTGACAACTACATATGGGTTCATAAACATATCATCATCCATCTTCAATACAAAGGCTGCTTGCGGACAATGATTCAGCATCCAGTGATAACCCATTATGTGTTTGATGCTCAGATTTCGATAAACATCAATGAAATTACCTTGAATTATGTCTTTAAATTCGTTAGCTTCTCGTACGATACCCCTTTGGAGTGTTGCATTATCGGAAACTCCGACAGAGAATACAAGAACGACAGTTTTATTCCCCGCTTTACGAATGCTTCCAAAGGTTTCTCGGATTCGACGTCGAAACTTGTAATGACTTAAGGCCGAATGAACAATGGTTAAGAGATACACGTGACCTCTCAGACAGAGGTCAGAGTTCAAGGTGAACTGATACTGATGCAGATTGATAAGAGGATGCCTCTCTTCATCTTCCTTCAACATGGAGAAGTTGAACAGTCCCGGTAGTTGTTCAGCAGCGGGGTGTTGGAGCGGATGGATCTTCCTGGAGGTAACGTGGTTCGGTTTGATTCTCCCACTCTCTCCCTGGCGGCCATGTCCATTCCCGTGGACGTGCACCTTGCGCTGGTGCCCTGTGTTGTCGTCATGGATGCCTGGGACTGGAGAAAGGCGTGGGACAAGGTACCAGTAGAGTGACACCAGACCATACACGGCCACAAACAGCAGGAACACTCGGTTCCGGTGTCTCGTCCTGCCGGTACACCTGCTGATACACCTGCCGATACACCTGTCGATACACCTGCCGATACACCTGCAGATAGGCACTGGAAGAACATCAGTGGCAACATGTCAACATGTGGATAACAGATCAGCAACTCACAGATGAAATAGATAATGAATTGTCATGTTTACCCCACTTAATGCTGTAGTCTAGATAGACTGATACTGTAGTAGATATGTGAACGTAGATATACATATGTATTGTAATACATGTGTGCATCTAGCTCTACTTATGTATTATAGTAGATATGTGAGGTAGCTGTACTTATATGCTGTTGTAGGTGTGTGAATGTTGCTATACTTTATACTGTAGTAGATATGTAAATGTAACTATTCCTATGTATCGTAGTAGATATATACACATAGCCTTACTTATATATTGTACTAGATATGTGAATGTAGCTACACTTGTATATTGTAGTAGATATATACACATACCTACACTTATATATTGTGGTAGATATGTACACGTAGATATACTTATGTGTTATAGTAGATATGTGAGGTAGCTGTACTAATATGCTGTTGTAGGTGTGTGAATGTAGCTATACTTTTATATTGTAGTAGATATGTGAATGTAACTATTCCTATGTATCGTAGTAGATACATACACATAGCCTTACTTATATATTGTACTAGATATGTGAATGTAGCTATACTTGTATATTGTAGTAGATATGTGAATGTAACTATTCCTATGTATCGTAGTAGATACATACACATAGCCTTACTTATATATTGTACTAGATATGTGAATGTAGCTATACTTGTATATTGTAGTAGATATGTGAATGTAACTATTCTTTTGTATTGTAGTAGATATATACACATAGCTACACTTATATATTGTACTAGATATGTGAATGTAGCTATACTTGTATATTGTAGTAGATATGTGAATGTAACTATTCTTTTGTATTGTAGTAGATATATACACATAGCTACACTTATATATTGTAGTAGATATGTGAATGTATCTATACTTATATATTGTAGTAGATATATACACATACCTACACTTATATATTGTAGAAGACATGTACACGTATATATACTTATATATTGTAGTAGATATGTACACGTAGATATACTTATGTATTGTAGTAGATGTGTGATGTAGCTATACTTCTATTTTGTTGTAGATATGTACACGTGTATAGACTTATGTATTAAAGTAGATGTGTACAGGCAGTTAGATCGATATATTGCTGTAGATATGGTCATGATATAGCCATACTGGTATATTATAGTAGATTTGTGCATGTAGCTACACTGACATATCGTTGTAGATATGTAATTAGATATACTGATATATTGCAGATGAATTACGATGTACAATAAACAGTTCATCTATAAATACAACATAACCACGTACTAAGACTACGTTGCTTGCGACGACAACCCCACACATACGTTGAAAGGGTCTGTTCCTCTACATTCTCGGTGACCATTTGGTTCAAACGAAACCCATATAGACTAAAATCTACATATCATAATAACAGTTCAAACAAACCTGCGAATTGAGAAAACATGACTCTTTCCTCTCGCCGAGATACTGAAACGAAATGTTGGCCTTAGTTTACGAACACTATGTTTTTGGCGATCAATGTGTTCTGCAAGCTGTTCCTGTGTATGTTGTCATTAAACGCGCTGCTTCAGCGGTCTTCTTCGATTAACGACTGGTAGCTTGCACACAGCTTGTAATCAAACGCCCTCTATTGTGAGTACAGTTACGAATCACTGGTCAACTGTCAACCGTCATAACCGCCTTCGTCGTTGACCACACTCATTTCAAGTTTTAGAGTTGTGTTCATGGCATGGCTATGAATGAACAGCTATACGAATTTTACAAGCCTACCATTCAATATGGCCTGTTTCAATTTATGTAATATTGTGTAGTTTGCAGGAGGAGTATTGTATAAATCCAGGGCAATGCAGCCGACGTGGTCCATGTTGCCGAACCTGGAAACTCAATGTTAAATTTAAATTAAATTAAAAATTAAAGCTGTTACGCCTAAGGGACGCAACTCTGCACATCAATTTCCGGCACCTCAGACGACTGGGTCGCTCCTTTCTATGTTTAAGTGATCTTGGCTACTTTGCATTGGAGTAATGATGAACAAAAAAACAGCATGAAAAAGAAGCACCGTTTTTGTATAATGAAAAAAGGCACACCACATTTGCAACCTTTCCAATGATCTTGTCGGCTTGACCCTGTGAGTGACCGCTGCTCTTAACAATATTTCAGTTATATCACGGCGTGTCAGTTTGACGTTATGAGTGAGTGAGTTTGGTTTAACGCTGCTTTTAACAGTATTTCAGTTATATCACGGCGTGTCAGTTTGGCGTTATGAGTGAGTGAGTATGGTTTAACGCTGCTTTTAACAGTAATTCAGTTATATCACGGCGTGTCAGTTTGACGTTGTGGGTGAGTTTGGTTTAACGCTGCTTTTAACAGTATTTCAGTTATGTCACGGCGTGTCAAATTGACGTTGTGAGTGAGTTTGGTTTAACGCTGCTTTTAACAGTATTTCAGTTATATCACGGCGTGTCGGCTTGGCGCTGTGAGTGAGTGGGATGCAAGTGTGACATTTCGAAAGAGAGGTCCGCATTTTTGCCATGTTTTTCCTGAATTTTGTCAATCACATTAGTGTCAAAGGTGACAGAAAATTCAATGATATAAATGATTTCATTGTATTTATCAAAAAGGACAAGCTCAGGTTTGTTGCCCTGGATACGTCTGAGGCTGTAAATGGGCCAATTCCAAAGAATTTTGTATTTATCATTTTTCATGACGCCCTCTACATATTCCGGGTCGTACCATGGATGGACCGCTGTGTCAAAACCACAAGCATGGCGAAGACGGTAATTCATGTCACTATATATATAGAACAAATATGTTTGGAATCATGAATATTTTGTTGGACATTTTTTTGTAGTTGTGTGCACAGTCTTCCCGTACAAAAATATCGCCAACATATTCATGATCCCTAACTGTTTTGTTCAGTATGTTACCAATGTGACGCAGAGACTAAATCCGGTATATTATACAAGTATGCCCACATGCCTAATCCCGTTACATTCGCTATAGTGACTTATGTGTCGACGATAGTGAATATGATCTCAAGTGAATGGGAATGTGTGTCACTAGTTGTGCTTTGACCTTTGAATTACAGCGGCGTACCGTATTCATGTCAAGATTGGTACACATGCACCACTGAGACAATACTTTTTTGTTTTCACAGTAAATTACTGGTTACAAAATATGTCGGAGGGTCGATACAATATAACAGTTAGTAAAAGTAATATATACAATTAGTATACACTTGCTAACTGTACTTCTCATGCACCCCCATTCGAGCAGAACGCAAGACCATTTCGGTAGTGAAACGAGATCCCGTCGGAGTACAAGAATAGTTGAAATTACAAGCTAGAGCCTAATTAGGTTGGTTATTGTATGTAAAGTATTTACGGTGATAGATAGCGAGTGAGTGCACCGTTACCTGTGTACTTCGTCGATGTCCCGATGACACACCAGATTTAGTAGATCACATCATGTGATACTTGAAGATAAAGGACCAATACGCCTGTCATGTAGTTAGGTGGAGCTCTTATGGGTGTTGAGAAAACAATACGTGGAGGCAAAGGTAGGCGACTTGCGAGAGAGAGAGAGAGAGAGAGAGAGAGAGAGAGAGAGAGAGAGAGAGAGAGAGAGAAAGAGAGAGAGAGTGTGAGAGTGAGAGAGAGAGAGTGAGAGTGAGAGAGAGAGAGAGAGAGAGAGAGAGAGAGAGAGAGAGATGCTGAATATCTGAACAAAGGACGTACACTAAAATGCTATACCTATACTTATTTTGAACTATTACATTATCTTCCTCAAGTGGATTGACACTAAACTTCTAGATTCCATATCCAGCCTATCCTGAAATCGCTTCACTGGCTACAAGCCAAGGAGAGAATACACTTCAAACTCATATCTCTTGCACACCCGCCTCGCCTCTATATATTCAAGGTCTCACAACAGTGTATCAACTTTCGAGAAGTCTCCGTTCAGTAGTTCAGCAGGTTCCTCCTTGCAATACGTACAAGTAAAGTACCTTGGGTGACAGATCGTTCCAGCATTCTGCTGCAGTGTTGTGGGACTTTCTTCCCACCTACACCTCAGATGTACCCTTCATAAGCCTTTAAATCGCGACTAAAGACCCATTTATTGACCGTGTGGTTGTATGCGCTGAGAGCATAAAATTGATTATCTATCAGTGTGACGTTTATTTTGATTCAGATGACCACCGAGGCAGACCTCACTGACCACTCTATGTTGTGTTCCATCTGTACGGAGGTGCTAACAGACCCATGTACACTGAGGTGTGACCACTCCTTCTGTAGAGCATGTCTCACCCAGTACTTACAGTCAAAACAGGGTGGGACACAGTCCAAGACGATCCCCTGCCCCTACTGCCATGTTCCCTACCAGGTCACCGACCCCACCAGACCAGTGGAGGAGTGGGCCGGGCAGTTTGCATCGAGTCATATGACGCGACCTGCTGACAGTCTTACTATAGATTGTGACAGAAAAGGTGAAAAAGCGTAGCTAAACCAAACCATTGATAAGTTACATGTAGTCATCTTGAGTTTGTGCGTTTGGTTTGTCGTCAAGATTAGCAATATATACTCATCGTCAAAAGAAACGCGAATACCATACATGTTAAAGATATATGCAGATATGAATATAATAATATTAGATTGGTTCTATGCAAAGCGAGCATTCATGTTGTGTGAACCGATGCTCATGAACGCATCACATGTGACGTCATACATCCATGACTCGAGATGAACCATTTGTCTCTGGCGTGTAAAGTTTGGAAATCACCTACAGCATATCGTGATAAGAATAAAGTCACTCTGTGGTAACACTTGACTGATTGTTAGTTTTGTCACTAATTGGTACACATTGGAATCTCTTTTTACCGTACATACTTCTCTATATTTTTCTATGGTTCGCGTTTCTTTTGGTGGTGAGTATATTAACAATGCCTGTGCGCCATGGTGGGGAAACCCAAACACATTGTATCCATATGAATGTAGGGGATCGAACCCGTACATCGGTTATCATCAGTGAAAGCTTTAAGCAATACGTTATCACCTTACTAGTTATCCATCCTCGAGTATCAAGTGTATAATATCTGCATTTTATTATGCTAAATACCCTGGACCCATAGCATAGCTACGTTTTTGGCCCGATTCGAAAAACACGACACGACGATAAGCGACTTAGAGATAAGAGTGATTAGGTCATGACGTCACTTCCAAAACGAGGCTATGGCGGTGAATGTGTCCAGGGTATATGTCGAACTAGAATGGAGATATGATACACTACATAATCCTGGAAACAGGTCATCTTGAATTGATTATGTCAAATTCCATATTCGTATATTTTCAGGACTACTTTACAGTACTCTATAGTACTTATCACTGACAGTTTGATAAAATTGTAAGCCTTAAAAATATCAAAATCTGTCACGGAAGAACTGATTTTATTTTGTACAGAAACGACATATCGCATTTTATTCGTTGTCATTTCTAACTGCGTTTCAGAAATGATCTGCTTTACCTGCAATGAGATTGGGAACTCCACCGAAGGCAGTATTTGGTGCGGTATGTGTGAGGTCATCTTGTGCAGCGCATGCCACAAAATACACAGCATCTTACCTGTATCCCGTGACCACAAAGTTACTGATGTGGTTGAAGGAACCAGGAACAATATCAAGAACACAATCAAGTGCAGTGAACATTCAAATAATGCTGTAGAATATTACTGCAAGGATTGCACCAAGGCAGTATGTCCGGTTTGCTGTATTCTGTACCACAGAAGGTGTGAATCTGTTGTCACACTGCAGTCTTTGATTCCCCAAATGAGAAGCGTCTTGCAGGAAAACTCGCAGATTCTATCGGCAAAAATGACAGACATTCATTCAAAATTATGCACCAACAGAAACATTTATACTCAGGTACAACAGAGTATAACAAACTTGCAGTCCGAGATCAGGTCTTATTGTCAACGTGCGTGTGACCTGATCGGAGAGAAAGAGGATGATATGATGAAGGACCTCGACAAAAGGACGGAGAAACAGACGGAGACACTGCAGATAGTCATCAAGATAGGGAAGAGTGTGGAAACTATGCACAAACAAAAGGTAGAGGTCCTACAGAGGGCCCTGGAGTCCGAGAGTGTCATGGAGATATACGAGGTGTACCAGGCCTGTCAATCAGGGGAGCTCCACGCTACAGAAGTAGACGAGTATGCCATAGCTGAAGTTGAATCGGGCATTGCAGTCAAGGTTAAAGCAGAGTTGGAAAATATTACAACTGTTCTGAACGAGTCACTGCTGTTATACTCAGACGAACAATGCGCAGAAGGCTCTACACATACCAAGAAGGACATGGATGGTGAAGATGGTGGAAGTTGTATAGGGTCTATGGAAGAGTCAGATGGTATGGGTACAGATGGAAAGCTGCACACTGAACATCAACATGAATCTTACAGACAGGGACCAAAGTCGGACTTTGGAGAAACAGATTTCAAACCGAGCTTCCGGGTTGTATTCTCTGCTGATCCTCATGGAGGTCTTAGGGCGAGCTTTGACAAAGGTGGTACAGATGTGGGGAAATATGAGAGATGTGAATCGGAGCTTTGTCCTAAAACCACAGACGACCAGGAAAGCGTACACGAAGTTGTATCGCCTACATGTACAAACATCTCAACGCAACAGGAGTCAAGGAAGAGACATCGCTCCGCTCCACAGCTGAACGACATTGAAGATTTTACAGCCGTGTTTTACAAACAGAAACAGTTTGCAGTTGATGTGGAGACACTTGGCACTGGTTATAAAGAACCACTACCAGCAAAATCAAAGCAAAAGTATCAGTCAGCCCCAAATTTAACCATGATTCCTATCATGAAACTGCAGACTGGAACTGAAAATTCCCTGCACCCCGAAACAGATAGTACCCGCTCATCAGACCAACTTATACCATCTTCACAGAATGGAGATCCCACAACAACAAACCTTGAACAACCATTGCAACTGGAACTGAAGAGGGAGTTGCTTTCTGTAACAGTTCCAACACGAACTGAAAGTCATGGACTAGAAGAGCAAGAATCTGATAGTCTAAAATCAAAGTTTCTGCCTCCACATGATAACGGCGCCAAACACGATATCATGGTGGAGGAATCATTTACAGATGATATGATGATGGCTGAGTCGGTGGCAGAGCCGAAAGTGGATATACAGAAAGGGGAGGAAAATGAAGAATTAGTTGCAGCTGTGCCAGAAGATACGGGAACTGATACTCGTCAGGAAACGGCCAACTTAGACGTTGAGAATGTCTCTAGAACTGGAGAGGAATCTCAGCGATCTGAAACAGAGAGGGCTTATACATTTGACTCAAATTCCTTGCCTGTTTATCATGATACCATAAAGACTGTGAATAACTTGGATGTTGTTGTACTTTTGTTGGATGGCGGGTTTGCATGTGTGGTTACCCACGCAAGTGAAAGCGCAGTAAAATGTATATATCACACAAGCCAGAAAAGATGCGAAAACACTTTGAGGATCTCAAACCTCCCTTGGACTGTAGCAAAGATGTCAAACGCCATGGTGGCTGTCACAGTTCCACGAGCAAAGCAAATCGTTTTAGCCAAAGTTGACCCTGAGTTGTCTCTTCATTCCATCATAAGAACACATAAACGTTATTATGGTCTGGCGGTGATGAAGGATTCCATGCTTGTAGCTGGTTGCACTTCTGATTCTTGTATAGATATTCTCGCTATGTCTGGCAAAGTAATTAGAACAATATCTAATACTTCTGTAAAATGCCCTAACTTTATCTGTCCAACACCAAAACAAGGTTTCATAGTATCCGATCGTCAAACACAAACTGTGATAGGCTTCACAGCCACGGGAGAGGTTGACTTCACCTACTTCTCTAAGGAACACGCATTCAAGGAGAACAGAGGCATAGTGACCACTGATTCGGGGCACATTTTGGTGGCAGACGTTGAGGCAAACAAGGTGGTGTTACTAACAGAGACGGGGCAATATGTCAGGGATGTATTAACATACACTGATGACATACGCAAACCCGTCGGACTGTACCTTCAGGATGCATTCCTGTATGTCACCCAGTGGCAGAACAGGATCAAAGTGTTCAAGTTTACCTGAACTTTAAAGTGACAGATAAGTGTCCGTGGTTTAGCAAGACGTGACAGATAGTGTTCAAGTGTACCTAACTGTGTAGGTACTTTATTGTACCTAGTCTTAGTAGCAGTTCACTTAAAGTCTGAAGTTTACCTTTGACTTTGAAGACGCAGATAAGGATGTACGTGTTCAATTTTACCTTGACTGTGAAGATGCGGAGAAGGATGCATGTGTTCGCTTAGATGTAATGCCAATAGAATAAAAGGAATCTTTTTGTGGAACAGTTGTGAATAATATCGGAAAAAGCCCATTTAGGTCAGAATTAAGTAGAAAAAATGTTATGTTTGATACAATCATTGATTAGCTTGATGTTAATAAATTTGTTAGAATCTTGTCAGATGATTATATCGTTTCTGCTTGGAGGAAATTCTGAACAATTATGTAAGGCGAATTATGTAATGTTATGTGGGTTAACTTGAATCGGTAACTCCTGTATCTATAGAAGACAGACTCACGGACTGGGATCAATCTTGCTTGATCCTCCATATTAGAACACAGGGAATTTAGTACAGGGAAATAACTCTACATGGCATACAGATCTCAATATAGTGAAGCACTCATACTACAAATTGGATTACAATATACTAGTAGCATTAAAGCATGTAAAATATTTGTGGTGTAGTCAGAAAATGTATATACTGCGTACACTTGTAAATAGCAACATGTTAATTGTCCATTTTTTACACCTTAAGCAATATTATACATTAGTATGTATGTATGTATGTATGTATGTATGTATGTATGTATGTATGTATGTATGTATGTATGTATGTATGTATGTATGTATGTATGTATATATGTATGTATGTATTATACATGTATATGTTCTATATATATATATATATACTTATCCTTTAAATGTTGTCTTACACTGTATACCTTGTATTCTTAATGAAATGGGGGCGGTCGTGTAGCCTAGTGGTTAAAGCGTTCGCTCGTCACGCCGAAGACCCAGGTTCGATTCCCGACATTAGTACAATGTGTGAAGCCCATTTCTGGTGTCCCCCGCCGTGATAATGCTTTATGAAATGGAGTAAATATACAACCATACCAGGATCCATAACCAGCTCTAGTCCTACGTGGCCAGATGTTAACTGGATTATTACGAAGGGTAATAAATCTACTTGACTCGACAGTCGCTATATAATTCAATGCTCTCAAAATTACACATGTGATCTCATGTTATAGGGTACGTGAATTACGTCGCCACCTGCAAAACACATGTGGCCCCGGTGATTAAGAGTATGATCTATGAATGTTATTAGGGGTGTCACAATTGATTGGTGTATCGATGCGTCGCTGTTGGAAATGACCTGATCGCAATAAATTGATGGTTAAATGCATTAGACTGTTGTTTGTTTCAATAAATTCAAACATCACACTCATGATATTACTACATGAGATATTTATCGATACAGCAGCAACATTACGTGAGTGTCAATTAAGACACTGAAACCATTCAGGAAATCGCCCAGAGCTGCTTCAACATTTATGGTGTGGTTTAACCTTACTGCTTTACTGTCCTTTGTTGGCACCATGGGGATTCCGGGTTCCCTTGGAACATATGCTTGACGTAGGAGGCGACGAGTTGGATCTTCCGGTGGGACTATGGAGGTACACGTAGACGAACTGTACCTCTCCCCTCCACTTAACGGAGAGGCATTACAATATCTCATCATCGTGGTGGCGCGTGGTCCTGTGCACAGCGCACAGGTCACAAATCAGGTAAAGTTAACCAATGTCAGTCGCGGACAGTCGTTGGAAGACGCGTTTCGTCAGCTTGACTCCTGAGAGTTTCTAGGGTTTCGTTCCTGTCTCACACTGAAGCATAATTGGCGTCTCCTTGGGCAAGAAACTTTGTTAGATGTGCCTCTTTTTACCCAGCGGGGAACGGGTACCCGGTAGGATGAGATGCCAATGTGGTTGTTAACCTTCTAGCGCCTAAAGGCAGCTTTGGCTGTATACTCCCCAGGGAGCTGTGAATGATTTTTCAGCGCACACTGGTCCAGTGTTAATAATAATAGCGCTTCCAGCATGTCCCTGAGTGGTGTGGAAATATGCGCAAATTAAATGGTCTATTATTAATATCTTTATGCAAAATCTGCAACCTACACACGACAGGAGATGAAATACACATTCTTCTGCACTGTCCAAACTATAGTACCGAAAGACAATTACTTCAACACACTAGATTTATTAAACTGTCCAAATGATAACAACATATTCACAAGGGTCTTGAATCTTTGATCTCAAAACCAAAATATGTCACGAAATTCTCTGACATGTTTATATGTTTTTAGACAACACTTAGTCATGATGCTAATCAAGACTATCATGACTTATTACTGCTGTATTTCATGTGAGTGTCACTCATGGAAATTATAGGTAGATTGGTGGACATATTGATGACGTCGAAGGCAGATTGTACTGAAATAGTAAGGCCAGTATCAAACCAGCAAGTATTTCCCCTATCGTCACGGTGCGAGTATGACGCTTGATTAATCACTCATGACAACCGAGGAAACACTGGCGGAAAGACACGAGCTGTGAAGATGCATTTAAAAAATTGGTCATAATTTGAAGAGCAGCTTGAATGCCGTCGCCATGATACATTCAGTGACATATTAAGTTTTCCCAAATAAATGTTGCAAGATATGTTTATGTTAAGCGTTCACCTAAACTCAAACAAATTAAAGCGGAATGAGATTAGGAAGGCGGTCTGGGTAATGAAACCGAGCATGTATACATATGCAACATAGATATGGACAATATCAGAAGTAAGTGAATGAATGTTGTTTTACGCTGCAATATTCCAGCTATATTAGGGCGGCGAGTCTGGAACAGGAAAGGCAGTGGTTGACAGCATGAGCAACAGTCCCATATATCGGGACACCATGACACGCAATCGATGGGGTCTTACTCAAAACAAAGGATCCTTTCTTCCCCGGAAGGACAACGGGGGGGGGGGGGGGGGGTAATCACATGATTGAACGAAAAAAATAATAAAACAAAAGGGTAATGCTACTAGTATTTCTATGATATATATCACTTTGATGAATTCAAGTCAAATGTAAGGTAAATGTTAATAGTTTAGACCAGTGTTCAGTGCTGTACTTTGAAGATCTCCATGGTTCACTGTAAACATAAGGGGCGGTCGGGTAGCCTAGTGGTTGAAGCGTTCGCGTCGTGTGTGAAGCCCATTTCTGGTGTCCCCCGCCGTGATATTGATGGAATATTGCTAAAAGCGGCGTAAACTCCTACTCACTCACTCACTGTAAACATCAGGTCGGTAACGTTTGTATAATTAACCACGCATCTCTATGACATGAGATATGTAACAAACTAAAGGAAATGGAGATGACATAAGTTAAAAAACCCACAAAGTATAATGTTTGATGACGTCATGAAGGGAACAGTGAAAGCTTAATGCTGAAACAGATAAATAACGTCAACGGAGAAGTAAGGGGGCAGCTACTCTCAACAACAAACTCAAATTCATGTTACACAAACACTGTTTATTACTATTCTTAACTAAATAAGGACGTCATTCAGTTTTGTAAGCAAGTAAATGAAATATCTAGACAGTTTGTGATGACCAGCAAGCTTGAAGAAGGTATTTGATACAATATCGTGCATGTTATGCAATATACCCAATTGTAAGTCTAAGTACTCGCACTTGAGACAGATATGAGCAACATGATTCTGCTTGGTCGCACATGTTAAAGAGTTAACCAAGAATACAAACATAGGCAGTCATGGTTTAGGACAAAATCCAAGCAATAAGTGACCAAAGAAGACTAATAAGATGCACACACCCCATGAGTCCGGGACCATAAGTAGACTCCTCATAAAACAAGGGATATTTATTTGTGATAGGTATGTTGTAATCCGCAATTTGTCAGATCGACTTCAGAAGAAACGATTTGTCCACAAAAACAGTGTTTCACTTCTTAAAGTTATATACTCTTACTCCACTTTTCCACTGTGCAACATACAGAAGTCCACGGTGAAGACAGAGTCCAAAGGGCTCATCCATGCCCTCTTTTGCCGTCAACACGTCTCTCACATACTCCCCGTTTTCTGTAAATAAGACAACTTTGTCGGCTACTTTATCCGCGACCAGTATGTGGCCTGTGCTGGTTCTCGCTATACCTCTGTTCACCTTGAAGGTATTCAGTCCAAGGTTGCTCGTACAGGCCACGTCTCCATTGGCTGTCAAGCCAATCACGGCCTTCTTGCCCCAATCAGAGATAAACAAGCCTCCAGTCTCTGATGTGAGGATAAAATTCGGACATTTCACAGCAGTGTTTGTTAGTGTTTTCAGTAGGTGCCCGGACATGTCCAGAATATCAACACAAGTAGAATCCGAACAGCCAGCTGCAAATGTGGAGTTGTTGGTCAAATACGTAAGACCATAATACATTTTTGGTGTTTGAATGTTTGAAACTATTTGTAAATCAGGCGTTACTTTGACAGTAATAATTTGTCTTGCGTTGGGAACAGTGACAGCAACTTGATTTTCCCTCACTTTAGTAAGTCCCCATGCATAGTTGTCGGTTGATAAGCTGCTGTGGTGCATGGTGTTACTTCTGGAATAGAACGACTTGATTTCACTCACATTGTGATAAGTGACAACACAGGTTGTAATTACATTTACCTCCAGTACAACAATGTCGGTACCTCCCGCGTCTCCTATAGTCTCATATAATGCAGGGGACGACTGTGGATCAAAGACATGCACTACACCCAAATAAGTATCATCCAAAACAGTACTGAGTTTATCCAAATCTGCATGCATGTTTATAAAGGGACGCCACTCCTCCTGGGACAATCCAACATCTGCGTCCTCGGTCTGGACGTCCGTCTCGATCTTCCCTGACTGACAGGCCTGGTACACCTCATACGTGTCCATGACACTCTCAGACTCCAGGGCTCTCTGTATGAACTGTAGCCGCTGCTGGTACCTCTGTGCCGCCATCTCCGCCGTCTTGATGCAGCTCTGGAGCTTCCCCGTCCTCTCATCAGTCCTTCTGTCCAGGACCTTCAGCAGGTCGACCTCCTTCTTTGTGATCAGGTCACGGGCCGCTTGACAGAAGGTCTTTATCTGAGATTGCAACTCAGATTTATCCTGTTTGGTGTGGACAAGCAGAAGTTTGTTTTCAGATATTTTAGAGTTCATATCACATATCTCTTCTGTTAATCTTTTAGATTTATCTTTCAGTATTATTTTCATTTCTGGACATTTTGATTCTACGGTAACAACTGCGTCACACTTTCTGTGGTACAGAATACAGCAGGAGTGACAGACTGCTTTCTCGCAATCATTGCAGTAAAATTCCAAATCATTTTTCCTGTGCTCTGTGCACTTGACCTTCCTCTTCTTCTTCAACTTAACGTCTTCTTTAATGTCAAGGACGTCGTGATCACATGACACAGGTATCATACCGTGCACTTGGTTGCAGGCATCACACATAGATATCTCGCACTCGCAGCACCAGTGTTTGGCAGGAGTCGTTTCCCCTTTCTGTTCACAGAGAGAGCACTTGGCAATGTCTGAAAATAATGTCAAGACGATTGAGTATTTCAATGTGTACCTATGGAATAATCACTTTCCGGTAAATACAATACTTAATTGTATATCTTTGCTGTAATTGTAATTGCAACAGATATGTCATTGGATATATCTCGAAAGAAACTTTTACTTTTAATAAGTACCAAGGTGCAACAAACCTTTGGCATCTGCATCGAGACTCTCCATCAGTCCCAGGATGATGTGACTAGGCTTGATCTGCCCCGCCCACTCCCCGACTGGTCTGGTGGGATCGGGAACCCTGGCTGTCTGCCGGCAGTAGGGGCAGGGGATTGTCCTGGACTGTGTCACATCCTGTCTTGACTGTAAGTACTGGGTGATACATGCCCTACAGAAGGAGTGGTCACACTGCAGTGTACAGGGGTCTGTGAACACTTCCGTGCAGATGGAACACGTCAGGAAGTTGTCTGTGAGTTGCTTTGACGAAGCCATCTAAGGAAACAAATGTCAAACTGTGACACATTTGCTTTAAATAAAACGTTCTCAAAGCTGTAGTTACAGACACAAAATGAACATACTGTGGAGAAAGATTGAATAACGCTACACTTGAAAACATGCAGGGGGTATGACACTCACAACTGTAACATATTATTTGTACGTGAACACCTATCGCTGATCTTGTGCATGAATCAACACCGATTCTGGTAAACTATTCCACGATCACCTCCCCAGGTTAAATTTAGTGGACAGCAGCTATTGACTTTAACATGAGAGCATTTCTCGTTTTCTACGTTCATAACTTACTTACATGGTAGGGGGGATTTCACGAGACGAATTGGAGGAAGTCTGGGGACGTTCTGTAACCCAGTATTGTTATACATTTAAACATACCAAAGTGGTGCCGTAATTTTTAAAAAGGAGACGTGGTAGTTATTTTGTCATCGATTGTAATAGTAAACGATAAGGTGTGTTGAGGAATTAAAATATGAAACTGATCAATAACGCCATTCAGGTCGACAGGCGGATTTGATTATATCAAAAGTTGACATAGTTCGTTGTCGAATACATTTTCAAATAGGCAAACAAAGCCATAATATTAATCACCATTGTTGATAATATACGACATTACTGACCTTTTTTTCTACCGTAGCTATGGCGTAACCATCGTCAAAAAATTACTACAAAGTGAACAAGTACGACCACCTTCCTGTTGTGAACACCCTAGCTGCAATCAGGTGACTACGCGATTCGAATTAGGTCATAGTGAGGGTGGCAAGGGGTGTCTTACTCAGTACTTCATTTATTCTCAAAGGATTACATGTATGTTTTTGACAGTTGGTGTGATTGTGTCGATATTGAAACAACGTCTGGGGACGTATTGTAACCCGGGATTGTTATACATTCAACCTGGTATGGGAATATGTACGTAAATGCTAGTAAATCAACGCGAACGGTCCTTAATTTATAACGACAAGCTGTGTCGCGGAAGTTAAACCATACAGACTTAATCAATAATGCCATTCAGGTCAAGCCGCCCTTGTTGATATAGAAAGTAGACATGTAGTTCATCGTCGAATACATTCATTATGGCACACAACATACACAATCAAAATATTCATCAACACATTTGATAAAATACAAAATAATGAACATTTTCTGCGACAACACTGGCGTAACTATCGCTAAAGTATTACACTAGAGCCCCAAATGTACCAATAAACCCACCTAGTACACACTTCTACTCACGTGACCAAACGATTCGTATGTCAGGTCATAGTGAGGGTGGGAGGGGGTGTCTTAAGTAGTATTTTATCTTTTCTCAAAGGATTGCATGTCTGTTCAGAACATAGGTTACTTGACACAATGATAGTCTCCTGAATTATCGTCCTGTTTTTTTTCTAGCCCTGTCCTCATTCATCCATCATGAAATGTAAAAGAGCTGTTATATTTAGGGGGAATTGAGGGACACTCAGTGGTGTGACGTTGTACGGCGCCTGGGCTCAGTAAAGCATCAAATAAAATATGGAAGAACTTGGGTCTTGAAATACATTTAATGAAAATCAATACACATGAATACGACATGGAGATTTAACTATGAAGCACACCTTTTATCGTTCGTTTTCCCCTTGAAAATCTAAACTATTTGTAAAAGTAAGCTCAACGTCCCAAATAATTCAGTGGTCTCTGTATTCAGGTTTTTTACGGAATGCATTCCGGAAGTGATGCAGCTCTATGTTTACATTTTGCACATGTGTCCATATGTATTTCCTCCTTATAAAGACAATAGATTGCATTGATAATTGATAATATCATCATTGGTAGTAAACAGAATGTTCCTTCCCATCGAACATACATTTAGGACATTAAACAAGTTATCATTTTATGTCAAGTTTAATTTCCTGGTGAAATGACTTTAATCTGTCTATCCCTAAAGACCTGTACATAACCTTGACATGAAATGGGAATGAGTTAAATATCCTACATGTATCTTCCATTGCCGGGTCATCAATGAAAATGATATCGTGAATTTGTCGTAATGAGTTTTAAAAGTGTATGTTATAATCACTTTGTCATCTCCATGAAGAAGTGAAATGTTCAGTACTGAAAAACGTGTGGTGAAGCAGAGACCACATACAGCACCTCAACGTTCTGCCTTCGTGTATGCAGCAGATTATATGTGAATAAATGCTGTTGATAAGATTTCACTGTTCAACATCGACAATGCTGAAGTACAGAGTAATGATAATATGAGGACATTTGGCTAAAAAAAGCTGTTTTCGAGAACTTCCACTCTGTGACCCAATCCGATTATATTTGGACATGTCGATAAAAACACATATTAAAGTTTCGACACGAGTGTCCTGCTCACACATACATGTCTTATATGAAAGTATTTGTTTTGGTATGTGTAAAACACTGTTTGTTTGTTTGTTTGTTTGTTTCCTTACGCCGACTTCACAAATATTCCATTTTTATGAATCCGTATATAAATCCAATCGCAACCACACAATCTAGTGATTGATATTATGAGCAACACCCCACGCTCTCGGGTTACTATGACATTATCACCCGATCCATTAGATCCTCCTCTAACACGCAACAGAATCCTCACGGGGGTCTTATGTTTAATTCAACAGGAAACATGAATGCGTGAATAATATATATTATCATACAAGAAGAAGAAACAGTGTATTAAAGTGTCACGCAAATGGATATTACAGGCATTGATACGCACACTGAAACATGACACAGTGAGTACGCAAATAAGCTTATAGTATGAGATATATACATATTAGTATGCAAAACATGCTTGTGTCCAGCCTAAAATATCATTTTGTTCTTTTAATACGTTTTGGCAAGTCGTGGAGGCTAAGAAAGGAGACCCATCGCCACTGGAGGAAAGAGTGAAGCATCTAAAGTTCGACTGCCAACGTGGTGGGAGGTTCAAGGCCTACCAGCCTGGTGAGTTTCAAGTCTTTATGACAATGTTGAGTTTTCAGCTTAAATACGTTTTTGCCAAGTCATGTCGGTCCCGAAACGAGGCTAAAACCCTTCCTGAAAAAGTTAGGAAAGGTCAAGGTGGACTGCAAACGTAGTCGCACGATCGAGTTCGACCCGCCTTGCGAGTGTCAAGTCTTACAGACGATTTTTATTTCTCACGTTAGATGCGACATTGAGCATAATACAACGGGCTTCATAAGCTCTGGAGAAAAAGGTGGGAAAGGTCAAGTTCGACTGCCAACGTTGTCGGGGGGTCAACGTCGATGCGCCTGGCGTGTTTCAACTCTTTATGACAATTTTCACTTTTGACCTTGAATACGTTTTTGGCAAGTCATGTCGGCCCCGAAACGCGCTGCATATCCCCTGCCAACGTGGTCGAAGGGTCAAGATCTACCCGCCTGGCGAGTTTCAATTCTTTATGACAATGATGAAATGTCAGCTTCAACACGTTTTTGGCAAGTCATGGCGGCCAAGAAAGGAGCCCCCATTAGCTCTGAAGGAAAGGATGAAGCATCTACAGTTCGACTGCAAACGTGGTGGGAGGTTCAAGGCCTACCCGCGTGGCGAGTTTCAAGTCTTTGTGACAATGTTGAAATGTCAGTTTCAAAACGTTTTTGGCAACTCATGGCGGCCAAGAAAGGAGGAAAGGGTGAAGTATCTAAAATTGTTCAACGCAGGCAGCAATAACTAATAACGAGCAACAAGCTGTGTATGTAGAGTCGCAAGTAGGCAAAATTGTGCAATGCAGCACTATACTTAGGGATATGAATTAACCACACGAGACTTCATATGAAATGTTTCCATTTCCATTCGTTTTCTTTTTCAGCATCAAAAGAACATGATCATATTGTCCAGTTACCTGACGTACATTTAATAATGCCAACGCATTTTATTAATAGTTTCGTTTGGTATTCACCAAACGTGTATTATGTGTGAACACACTCCTCAAATATATTACCACAGGATTCATGTTCTTTTAGGGTTCAATTCCTGATAGTGATTAATTAAGAATATATCTACATCTACTTGTACAACATACATGTATAAACTGTATAAACATTGCATAAATCATGTGTGAATATGCAAAACATCAGATCCTAAGCAGCAGATCCAAATGGATGTTCTACGTCCTACAGTTTAATACAAAACGTTGTAGATATAGATCTAGAGCATATTTTATATGTCGAGTGAAATATCATGTTTTTCACATCTCCTTGTCCCCCGTCACAAGATGACAGTACATGGTATTTCACTTGACACATGGAATATCCCATTTGTTATATCCTTTTTGTGTAGTTAAAATTAAATTATTTCATAACAAATATAAAACCTTGAAACGTAAATTCTACCTACCCTACACACAGGGACGGTTCACCACCACTTGTATTCGTGTTTGCAAAATCTTAAAAAATATATAAAAGAATTTACAAAAGATATTGAGGGTCACGAAAATTCTGTTTGATACATATAGATATGATTATATACAAATTCAACTATACCAAAAATTATTCTTGAAAACTACGAGACCGCTGTTGGAAGCGAAAGAATACACGCTGTTCAAGTTACAAAAATGACACTTTGCGAAACAACAGTCTCGATTGACAAGTAAAATGAGAAATATAAAGTTTATGACAAAACATGTTCAACAGAATAACAAACTGCATGAAGCGATTTTAGCTCCATAATTGACCATGCCAATGTTGAACATACGTAAAAAGGTCATCAACAGTTTGTGTACACGCTAGACACCAACAAGCTCCTTCCCAGCGCGTGACACCTTCGTTACACTCTCGGTATCATCGCTGCCACCAGCGTGGGCGCGGCCATTACAAGAATCTTGAAATTTGCCCTCTAACCCCATATGTAGTAACGTTTATACTTTTGTTTATGTCTTTGGGAATGCCATCATATTTCCTTTTGAAAAGTTTACGACTGACCATGTTTTCCAGATGAATTTACTTTGTTGTTTGTATAATCAGATTGGTTCGAGATAGCAGACTAACGGAACACCTCCCTTACATTCTTACTATATCAATTACATGATAGTTTTAATGAAATAGAAATGCAAATTGACAAACAAAGAAAGTAATTTAGCAGCGGTAAGTGTGTTCGGCGTCACGACGGTCGTCACTTGTTTGTAAACATAACGGTCATTCGGTTGCGAGTTCAACTGAAAGCATGGTTTGGGCCACCTATCACAGTAAGAAGTTTTGACTGGTGGCAGCGATTGTATAGAGAGCTCCGCGGTGACAGTAGTTCCGCGAAAGTGTTATGTTCACAGCAGTGAAATATCAAGTGTTATGTTCACAGCAGTGAAATATCAAGTGTTATGTTCACTGCAGGGAAATATCAAGTGTTATGTTCACTGCAGGGAAATATCAAGTGTTATGTTCACAGCAGTGAAATATCAAGTGTTATGTTCACTGCAGGGAAATATCAAGTGTTATGTTCACTGCAGGGAAATATCAAGTGTTATGTTCACTGCAGGGAAATATCAAGTGTTATGTTCACAGCAGTGAAATATCAAGTGTTATGTTCACTGCAGGGAAATATCAAGTGTTATGTTCACTGCAGGGAAATATCAAGTGTTATGTTCACTGCAGTGAAATATCAAGTGTTATGTTCACTGCAATGAAAATATCACTTTTCACAACTTTGGAAAACTCAGTTTTTCACACTGAAGTATATAATAAATACATATACCTAGTATACATACATGTATGTATACTCGAACAAATACACAAGGCATGCAGTAGAGATAGCATTTGAATGCAGTTTATAATGTATGAATATATGACATCAGCAGTGTTGTCCGCAGTCCCCAGTCACATCTTGACGTGTGTGTCTGAACCTGTCTTGAGATTACGGTGATCAGTTGAGACACGCCTGTTTAACCTGTCAAGAAACTGACACATGTATTATACTTATACTGATGAATATCTACCCAACATCTGTTTAAAGTTGAGTGAGTGAGTGAGTGAGTGAGTATGGTTTTACGCCGCTTTTAGCAATATTCCAGCAATATCACGGCGGGGGTCACAGGAAATGGGCTTCACACATTGTACCCATGTCGGGAAGCGAACCCGGGTCTTCGGCGTGACCATCGAACGCTTTAACCACTAGGCTACCCGACCGCCCCTGTTTAAAATTGAAAGGAATGGTGAAAACCCTGTCTGGACTAAGATGTCTTGTGTTAATGCAATGGTCTGTGGTGATGAGTGTTCAAATAATTAAAATACACAACACGGGGCAAGTAAAGAAATAACAGTTTATTTGGTAGAGTTAAAGTGGTGTTAACAGGTAAAGTTACAACATTACATGAAGTAAAATATACATGGATATTTCAAATACATAGGTTAAAAAGGTTTGAAATGCTGGTTATATAAGGCAAGAATAGATGGGCAAAACTAACTTTAATCGTAAAATACATAGCAAATACATGTATTTATAAGAATCGAAATTTGAGGAACATGATTATATCATATGACAATTGATGCGTTGTAAACTAAATAGATGTAACTAGCCAAAGAGAAATTGATTTTATGAAATAGCAAGTAATGTGTTACTTAAAACCACCTAAGGGGTACACTTAATAATTATGTTTATGCTAGGGCTGAAATTAGGCTTGGTGGAAGGGAAGGAAATTGGACCTACGTGTTGGAATAGCCTTCCACACACGTTAAACAAAACGAACAAATTACACAGCTACCACGAATGCCGGGCAGGGATGCGCGACGTGTTCTCGCGCAAGCGAGAGCAGGAAGTTATAAAAAGATATGCTAATTAACTATGTCCGGTGGCAGGACACACCGCTAAAATTATAAAGTAAATAGCCGTACAAGGAGAAGGTTCTACTACACTAAATCAGAACCGGTTGTGACAGTGCTGCCTTCAGTACAGATCGAAAGATATCTGCACGCTGTGATTGGATGATATTGTGTAAGGTTATTATGTCTTGTAAATGTACATCCATCCAGTAATTAAAACTGACCATGTTTTTTTCTATATTCAGTACTGTCTTTTTCAACATGATGACGTATGCTGAATGTGACCACACATATTTTCAAGTAGGTGACATTTGGTCTTAACACACACACTGTTGGTGCTTAATTATTTTTATTTTAAATATATAACGTACTATAGAAGTCTATGGGAAAACATTTTGCTGTGTGCAGCCTGAAGCGTGGGGCAGATTGCGGAGCTACGTGATACAGTTGTATATTTCAAATTTATCATTTTCAAACGAAAAAGTCAGAAATGTTATAAATAAACGTCTTGGAATACTATACTTCCTTTGTTTGTCATGCCCCCTCGTTATTCCATGAAATAACATGTGGCTTAGACTATTTGTCAACCTCTGTCTGGGTGTTCTTATACAGTTATGAACTTGTGGCATAATGAACAAATGTCTATTATTTGTTTAACAGATATCCACATAAGCACAGATGATGAAAATAAAATGAAAAATGAATTTGGATTGCAGTGTATAATATCACCCTTTACGTCAAATGTCAGCGGTGTATATATTTTGATAAATAATAACATAGAAGCAACTATACATAAATGTGAAATTTATCATACTAATGAAAACTTTATAACAGCAGATATCACCATTGAAGACATAAGGATGACTCTAGCCACTGTTTCTGGAACAAACCGGGATGATCCAAATTTCTATAAAACATATTTTACTAATATAGAGGAATTTGAAAATCACTCTATTGTCATATGTTGAGATTTGAACCTGGTTTTGAATTCAACCATTGCCCTTATAAAAAATGATAAAAAATATAATAAAAAAATATTAACAATCCACGAGCAAGAAATATAAATTTATTTTTTAAAACTAGAAAATATGGATTTAGTAAGGAATATAAGGTATAAGGAATTTTACAAGGTGGAAAAAGAACCCAAGGCAACAGTATATTTTTATTGTTTCAGGTGATACTGCTAACTAGACATCTAATGCATCAAGGGCGGTCGGGTAGCCTAGTGGTTAAAGCGTTCGCTCGTCACGCCGAAGACCCGGGTTCGATTCCCGACATGGGTACAATGTGTGAAGCCCATTTCTGGTGTCCCCCGCCGTGATATTGCTGGAATATTGCTAAAAGCGGCGTAAAACCATACTCACTCACTCACTCACTCTAATGCATCAATCACACCTGGCTATAAATCTGACCACCCTGCTGTTACTATGACTTTGTCAGATTCTTCATCGAAAGAAAGGGTTGGCGGTTATTGGAAATTCAATGCCTCTTTATTGTATAACAATGATTATGTGGATGTTGTGAAAAAACCTTGTTTCGAAACAAATAGGGAATATGCAGATTTACACTTTGTGTAAATAGTCTCAGAAATAGTAATTTGTGAATCAAAATTGTCCATCAGTGATTCTGTATTTTTGAAAACCCTCTTAATGGAAATAGGGTGAAAATCCCTTTCACTCACATCTTTTCTGAAAAACAGAAGAAGAGAAAACACAAAAATTGAATTTTTTTTTTTTTTTAAATTAGAAGAAATGATAAAAAATGACTTTCAATCAATAAGTGAGAGAAGGTTCTCTGATTTATGAAAGTATAAGAAAGAATTGGAAATGCAGTTTTAACCTTTTTCCTAAACATTTGGAAAGTATTTCAGTGTCAAGACATGTTTTCAATAATTTGATCCCAGAGGAACATTTATTCAATACTTAAACCTTAAAATGGGTAATGCATAGAACTTTATAACTATGTATCCTATTTATCTATCACCATTTTACGGTTGAGTGATTTCAACGCGGAGTGAGAGACCACAGAATGATGCTGTAATAACGTTAACTCACTCACACTCACTCCGATAAACCCTTAGAGCATGTGTCAAGTGCTTCCTTCTGTCCATCAGATTCGGGCAGCATTTCTACAGCCTCAGGCTCCTCAATTGTGCTCGAACACTGAAGGGGTGCAAAACAATCAAAAATGTCATATTTCATTGATATCCATCCTCTTGTAAACAGTAGTTTGGTTCCCACAGACACCGATATTGTGAGGAAGAATCCGATGACGGCAATCAGTGTGCGGAAGGGAAACAACTGGCCATCCGTTTGGTTGTAGAAGGGAAAGTGTATCACAGCAGGGAAGTTGATCAGCTTGGCGCCACTGCATGCCCTCAGGGTGAACGCCACCACAAACCCCACAAAGGACCCGTACGTGTTACAGCTGCTTATGAAGAGAACGCAGATGAACTGTGGGAAGAGAATCACGTACATCAAGTCAGAGCAGAGGATGAAAAGTCCATAGACACTCTTTACAACGATGGCTATGATGGTGGCAAGGACACCAGCAGCAACGGTAGCCACTCTCATCACCCACACCATCTCCCGATCAGTGGCCTGAAACAAGATGGGAAGCAGAAGAGTAAAGATGCGTTCAAACACACTTACGTGGTTATTGAGTTTCCTTGTCAAATGAGTGTAGCAATAGCCAAAGTAAAACACTATAAATCTTAAAACCCAGATGTATTTTACCGATATTACGCCACTTGCTCTTTTGATAGATGGTGGTGCTTACGTTTTTTCTGATGATGCTCTTGTAAATGTTCTTGGTGAAGACTGAAGCCGTGCAAAGTGTGCTGGAGTCTGTGGATGACATGACGGCTGCTGAGACCGCACCCAGTCCAAGGATGGAAACAGTCATGGGGCAGAGGTACTGTAGCGCCATGGGCAGGATAAAGTGCATCTGTTCCTCGGCAAGGGGGATGTCACCCATATAACTAGTCTGATTCCAATCTGAGTGTTAAAGTATAGATGTGACAATTATCAGGAAACTCCTCGGCAAGGGGGATCTCACCCATACAACCAGTCTCATTCCAATCTGAGTCTTCCAAATTGATATATTCGCCCATACCTCAGGGGCATTCATTATTCTTATCACTGTCTAAACAAAAAGGAGATTTGTTTTGTTCATCCGACATATGCACATGTATTAGGGTTAGTGGCAATGTCACAATAAGCAGACATATAGACAAACAAAACAAATACGATTGACGATAACTATTACAATGGAGATTACCTGCAGCAGATCCTGCGAACCCGATAACAGCAGGTGGTATGCTTAGAAGAAGACACATGATGCCAGCTGCTACCGATGACGCTACAGCTTGTCTTGTTGTACGGCAGGCCAATGTGCGTTGATACATCTCCTGTTCAATAGACAAGATGTTATCCCTGGGTTTTTTAATACTTTTCCTTATAATTTCCTAATTACTCAAAGACAGTATACTGACAAGGAGACGACCAGTCCTTGTTCTAGCCCCTTGATACCGAGTGCCAGGCAGGGCAACAACAAGTACCATCTGTTAACTTCTTTTGGGATGACGTGGCCGGGGATTGACCCCTGACCTCCTGCTCTCTGGGTGGACGCTCTATTGTATATATGTTACAGGAAACAAGTATAATCAGTGATTAAGTCTAATGACTGAAAATTTCAGTGATTATGTCTAATAACTGATTCACTCGGTGGTTATGTCTAATTACTGAAATCTTCAGTAATTAGACATAATCACTGAAATGAACCAAGGGACTTTATACTTGTTTACTGAAAGCATATTCCTGCCTTGTTTTTATAATATGTGCTAGTTTTCAAAGTGTGAGGTATCTGATTACTTATATTGGAGATTTTACGTGCGCTTTCCGACTGCAGCGTATTTCGCACACGGGCCCGGCCAAGCCATTTAATGTGTTTCCGAAAAGGGGAAAAAGTTGTTTGGCATTCCAGTAGGGGTGTTTTAGTGGTTGCTTATATAGAATTTTGGAAATTTTGAAATTTTGAAAAAATGCCATGAGGGTTTGGGGGACGAACTAAGGTACCTGAGTATGGAAGTTTGTTAGTTTGATTATGTGGTCTGGTTTTGGTAGTTTATTGGGGTTTTAAATGCGATTTATTAGTCCTGATTTGATTAAGTATACGCCTAAGGCTTTGAATTTTTCTATTTTATTTTGTGGGTTTAGGATTGCTTCTAGAGTAAGAGCCTTATTTAGATTTAGGGTGGTTTGTAGTGTAGTTCGGTGTGTTAGGTAGTGGGTGCAGTGTATGAGTGCGTGTTCTGGGGTTTCTTGCTGTTTGCAATGTGGGCAGGTTCCTGTTGCGTGTTTTCTTATTATTTTGAGGTGGTTATTTAGGTTGGTATGTCCTGTTTGGAGTTTAGTAATTACTCTGTTGAATGTTTTGGACGGATGTAGATTTTTTGGTTTGGTTAGGGTTTTTTTAAGAACCTTTTTGATTTGGCTATTTGAGTTTTGATATAGGTTATGCCATTTTTTGGTGATTTTTTGTTTGTTAACACTTTTAATTTCTGATTTTGAGATGGGTAGGTTTAAGCTTATTTCTGGGATTTTAAGGGATAGTTTAGCTGCTTTATCGGCGTTTTCATTGCCGTATATTCCTACGTGGGCGGGGATCCAAATGAATACTATTTGTTTGCCTGCCTTAGTTAAATCGTTTGAGCTTTTTAGTATCTGATTTATTAGTTCAGGGCGGTTTTTGGTGTTTTTATTTTGGAGGGCTTGTAGTCCACTGAGCGAGTCGGTAGGTATTAGGATTTTTTGTTGTTTTTTAGATTGTTGATTATGAAGGGCTGAGGCCATGCCCATTAGTTCGGCCGTGAATATTGATTGATTGTTTGGGAGTCGGTAGGATTGTGTGAGGTATCTGGTCTGACTGACTGATATAGAAGATTTAACGTGCGCTTTCCGACTGCAGCGTATTTCGCACACGGGCCTGGCCAGACCATTTAGTGTATTCCGAGAAGGGTGAAGTGGTGTGTGCAACACAAGAGGGGGCTTTTAGGGGTTGCTTATATCGATTTTTTGAAATTTTAAAATTTGGAATAAATGCCGAGGTGGGTGGAGGAGGGAACTAAGGGAGCCGGGTGAGGTGGGTGTATGTATGTTTATTGGATTTTGGATTGGTAGATTAATTAGTTTTCAGATGCGCTTGATTAGGCCTGTTTTGATTAGGAATACGCCTAGGGCCTTGAAGTTTTCTAGTTTATTTTGAGGGTTTAGTATTTCATCTAGAGTAGGAACCTTATTTAGATTGAGGTTGGTTTGTAGTGTGGTTCTGTGTGTTTGGTAGTGGGTGCAGTGGATGAGTGCGTGTTCTGTGGTTTCGGGTTGTTTGCAGTGGGGGCAGTTGCCTGTGGTGTGTCTTTTAAGTTGTTTTAGGTGGTAATTTAGGTTCGTGTGTCCTGTTTGGAGTTTTGTAATTAATCTGTCAATTTTTTTAGAGGGGTGTAGGATTTTAGGTTTGGCTAGTGGTTTTCTGAGCACTTTTTGGATTTGGCTATTTGAGTTTTGATATTGATTATGCCATTTTTTGGTTATTTTTTGTTTGTTTACACTTTTAATTTCTGATTTTGAGATGGGTAGGTTTAGGCTTATTTCTGGTATTTTGAGAGATAATTTAGCTGCTTTATCGGCGCTTTCGTTGCCGTAAATTCCTACGTGGGCGGGGATCCACAAGAAGGTTATTTGTTTGCCTGCTTTTGTTAGGTCGTTGGAGCTTTTAAGTATTTGGTTTATTAATTTAGGTCGTTTTTTGGTATTTTTGTTTTGGAGGGCTTGTAGCCCACTAAGCGAGTCAGTGAGAATTAGGATTTTTTTGTTGTTTTTTGATTGTTGGTTATGCAGGGCTGAGGCCATGCCCATAAGTTCGGCCGTGAATATAGATTGGTTGTTAGGGAGTCGGTAAGATTGTGTGGATATAACTGGTTGTGTGGTATGGACTCCGAAACCTGTGTGGTTGGAGATCGGGTCTGAAGATCCGTCAGTGTATATGTGACACCAATTTGGCCAATTTTCGTGTATGTATGAAAGTGTGGTGGTTTTAGCTATGTTTGGGTCGGTTTGTTTATTTATTTGGTTAGTTAGCGTTGTGTCTATTTGGGGTATTTTGAGTTTAGGGGTGAAGATATTTGATTTTTTGCAGTTTTGTTTAAGATTTTGAGTTTGGTGTTCATTGAGGTAGTTAGTTATTCTTTGGGATATTGGGGTGAGTAAGGGGTGTTTGCGAGCTAGAGCTTGGTTTCTTGGGCTAATGTTTTGGTTAATTAGGTTTTGGATGAGAGGGTTTGTTTGGGACGCGGCCCAGAAATTAAGGCTTAGATGTTCCCTGCGTAGATTTAGTGGCATTTCTCCTGTAAGGGCCTGAAGTGAGGTGTAGGAGGTGCCATGTTGGGTGCGTGTAATTAGTTTAAGGGCTTGGTATTGTATTGAGTCAAGTTTTTTAGATAGAGAGTTGTTTAGGGTATTGTATATGGCGCAGCCGTAGTCTAGTTTTGATCTAATTAGTGTTGTATATAGTGAGAGGAGGGTATCTTTGGAGGCTCCCCAGTTGGAGCCGGTGAGACATCTTAATGTGTTAAGGTCTTTGCTGCATCTAGTTTTTAGGTTTTGGACGTGAGCCTCCCAGGTGAGGTGTTGATCGAAAATAAGTCCTAAGAATTTGGTTTGTTTTTGGAATTTGATTGTTTGGTTGTTTAGCTGGAGGATTGTGTAGGCAGGTTTCATGTTTTTATGTTTGAATACTACTCCTGTTGTTTTATCTGAGTTAAGGGAGAAGCCCCATTTGTCTGCCCATTGTTGTATTTTATTTAGAGATTTTTGGATTAAGTTTTCTGCCATTTTAATGCTTTTAGTGCGGATCCATAGGGCTCCATCATCCGCGAATTTTGAAGTGTTTAGTTTAGGGGATAAGCCCTCGAATAGATCATTTATCATTATATTGAAGAGGGTTGGGCTGAGAATGCTGCCCTGGGGAGTGCCATTTTCTAGGGGACACTGGTCCGATAGCGTATGGTCTATACCCACGGTAATTTTGCGATTGTTTAGGAAATCATGGATGAAGTTTATTATTTGGCCTTTTAGTCCTATTTTTTTTAGTTTTTGTATTAGCCCGTGGTGCCATACCATATCGAAAGGGGTCTCGTTTAGCTCTGTTGAAAGCTGATTTGCGTTTTAGTCTAGTTAGCTCTATTTCCTCATTCCACCAAGGGACAGTGGGTTTTCCTGGGTTGGATGATTTGAAGGGGATTGCGGATTTGGCTGCGTTGATTATGAAGTTAGTTAGGTTTTGACAGAATGTTTCGGGGTCTGTTGTTTCTAAATCGTTTAGATTAGCTTCGTTGCATAATTCTTGGAATTGGTCCCAGTTGGCGTTTTTGTACTGAAATTTAGGTTCCTGTTTAGGGGTTTGATTTGGTATTTTTATATTTCCTAGGGTTATATTTATGGGAAAGTGGTCGCTGCCTAGAGGTACTGGGTGGACGTCCCACATCAGGCTTTGTGCTAAGTCTGGCGTACATATTGTTAAGTCGATAGCCGACATGGTGTGGTGGATTTTGTCGTATCTAGTTGGTTGGTTATTGTTTAATAGTATTAGGTCATTTTTTTCGATCCACTCTGATATTAGTTGTCCATGGTTGTCTAGTTTATCTGCAATGCCCCAGGTAGGATGATGGGCATTGAAGTCTCCTAGGAAGATGGTTGATTTATTTCCTAATTGGTAAAGGATATCTAGGTCTGTATCTTTAATTGGTTTTAGTGTTGAGTGATAGATGTTAATGATTTTTATTTTTTGGTTATTGATGGTGACTTGGATTCCATTAGCTTCTAGATTAGGAGTGTTTACTTTAACTTCCTGGTAGTTTATATCCTCTCTAACGTAGATGATTAGACCTCCTCCTGTTCTGCCTGGGATGGTTTTGGACCTGTCGGTTCTCACTGCGTTATAATTTGGTAGGTTGAATTTAGTTTTATGTGAGAATTTGGTTTCTTGAATACAAGCTACATGGGGACCTTTATCTATTTTGAATTTAGCTTTAAGTTCAGAACCATGGCCGGCGAGGCCATTGGCATTCCATTGAAAAATGTTTAGGCCTTCCATTGGGAAACTGGGTGGATTTATGTTTGGTTTAGGCTTGGTTTAGGTATTTACTTTAGTAGGTTATTAAGGTTGCTGCTGAAACGGTCGAAAGAGGTGGTGACGAGTTGTAGTTTATGTGCTACACCAAAGAAGGCTTTGGAGCTGGCTTCTGGATTAGACTGCTTTAACATGTAAGCTAGTAGGAGGACTAAGTTGTTTAGTTTTTTGCTTGCTACGTTTTGGGTGAGTTTTTTTCTATAGCTTTTGGTTTTTGGGGCT